GTGTGATGAGATGGTGGAATGGATTTTGCATTGAGATCCGATACATAGATAGACCACACCACAGCCATAGCATCGCCTGTATATTCCCCAAGGCTGAAAGCCCCCATATTCCCTTAGCTGTCCCATTCCCTGTATATCTGAGCAGCCTTTTTTCCCGCCTGTTCTGTGCGAAAGGTGGAATGCTTTTTCGTTGTGTGATTGTTTATGCTTTGCTTGTGCTCGTTTGTTGTGTACCTCTCACTCCATCCCCATCTCATCCCATCCCAACGCATTCCATCGCATCATCCCAACCCAACTCATTTAAAGTCATCCCACCCCATTCCACCGCTTCCCATCCCATCTCATCCCAACCATCTCATTCCATCCCATACCATATCATACGACAACTTACCACACCATACTTTACCATACCATACCATACCATACCATACCATGCCATACCATGCCATACCATACCATACCATACCATACCATGCCATACCATACCATACCATACCATACCATACCATACCACCTCATCCCCATGACCTCCCAGTTGTAATTTGCAGGGGCAGGCAAGTTCTCAGGTGGAGAAGGTGTGTGCTCATGTGCTGGGGTAGGTGGATCTCAGGTGGAGCAGGTGTGTGCTGAGATGGTGGAGGGGATGTTGCATTGAGCCAGAATGCCTAGTGATTGCAAGTGTCACCAATGATGGAAGCCTCCATCATCCCTTAGCAGTCCCATTTCTGTGAGATTTAGTCTGTTCATAAATTCTTGTGTGTTTCACTTCTGCACAGTGGTGTTCGGTGCAACTCTCACTGTCACCATCCCATCCCATCCCATCCCAACCTTTCCCATCCCTTCCCATCTCATCCCATCCCATCCCATCCCATCCCATCCCATCCCGTCCCATCCCATTCCCAACCCATCCCATACCCTCCCCTCCCCTCCCATCCCATCCAATCCCATCCCATCGTCCAAACCCAGCTCATTCCAACTCATCCCACCCAATTCCACCGCATCCCATCCTATCCCATCCCATCCCATCCCATCCCATCCAATTCCATCACATCCCATCCCATCCAATCCCATCACATCCCATCCCATCCTATCCCATCCCATCTCATCCCATCCCATCCCATCCCATCCCATCCCATCCCATCCCATCCCATCCCATCCCATCCCATCCCATCCCATCCCATCCAATCTCATCCCATCCCATCCAATCTCATCCCATCCCATCCCATCTCATTGCAGTGGTGTTTCCTCCCCGCCCCATCCCGTCCTTCAGCTGTTTCCGTCACATGTGCCACCTCACTTGCAATCAATAACTCAACCCCCTTCCCTCCTCCTCTGATTAGTTTCACCCACTCTCTCGCCTTCTCTCCCTGCTCGCAACATCATTCGCCATACTCACTCACCTCTCTTTACTTCAGCTCCCCATTTGGGATTGCTTCACTGCAGCATCACTCTATATTGTTGCCGCCTCCATCCAAGGTTCTGAGACTCGTCATTCCACTCAGTAGTCTGCTAGATGACCCTGAACCCATGACCCATACTCCCATACTCCCATGCTCCCACGCTCCCATACATCAATACACCGATGCACCCATTGCCAATGTGCCCATACACCCTTGAACCCACATACCCATGCACCCATGCACTCATGAACCCATGTACCCATGAACTCATGCATGTATGCACGCACGATTCCATCCACACACGTTCCCATGCATCCATGCGTGCACACATGTACCTATTTACCCCCGTGTAGTCATGCGGTGGAGGCTCCAATCAATATGTTAGATCTATAAACCATTTCTTAAAAGAAGCTTGCAGTTGTTCCATTAGCACAATTTATGTTCCTCTGAGATGCTCTGGTTCAATCTCTGCTGCATTCTGGCCCAGCTGAGGTTCTAGGTTCACTCTTGCATTGCATTGCATGAATATGATACAAAAAACAGCCCATTATGATCCTTCCATGCAGTCATGTGAGTTCCTTTCCCACAAATAACTCGCTGATTACAAGGAATAACCCTGTACTCTAGGGCAGTGTTGCAATATTTTTAGCAAGTTGCACTGCATCCATCAACGTGGAAACAAAAGATTGTGTAACGCAACATACTTCCAGATTGCAAGTATTACTCTTCATAGTGCAAAGCTATGAATGAACATATTCTAGTAGTAACATACAGTACATACCGTAGTAGTTCCTAAGAGTCATCAAGTATTCCCAACAGCAGCTGGGAGTTTTTCTATTGTCACTATAGTTTCAGAACGCCCTTCAGTGTTGCACACTACCATGTATGTACAGACCATGTTGAGAGCAGGAAGGTTCTTTCAGGAGCTCCTTCTGTGCGCCCTGCTGCTGCTGCAGCCTGGCCTCGCCTGCCTCTCATGCACCAAACCCTCTCTCCTCCCCGCCTGCTGCTTCACCCCCTCCCTGCCACACACGCCACTTGCCACTGCTCTGCCACCTGCTGCCTTCACACCACCCTGCCTTCCACCTGCTGCCCTCCCTGCTGCTCCCTCCCCACACGCACCCCCCTCTCTCCTCTTCACCCCACTTGCGTGGCTGCTGCTGGCCTTGACAGCTGCTCTCACTGATGATGCAGCACCACGTGATCCCGCAACTGCTGCTGTTGCACCACATGGGGCAGAGCTTGCATGCGTGTTGTTGCCCTTACCACCCTTCACACCCATGCTCACCACCTTGCTGCTGCACCCATTCTTGCCCTTCGCGCTTTCAACCCCCTCCTTGCACCTTGCTGCAACAGCAGGCTTTGGCTTCTGTGCTGCTGCTGCTGCTCCTCTCACTGGTGATGCCGCAGCAGGTGATTTCACTGTTGTTGTAGCCGCGGGTGAGGGAGCAGCTGGTGCTGCGGACACTGCTACAGCCGCTGTTGCTGCAGATGCAGGAGGCACGGTGTTGCGAGTCAGATTCGCCACAACATTAGGATGCTTGGGCAAGAAGCAGGGACGCAGGGCGGCTTCAATGGCCGCTTCAATCTCCATGGCCCATGATGGCTCCTTGCTCCGCTTGTCCCACCTCAGGTAAGCAGCACGTTTCATTGCAATATCCATAGCGCGAACCTCCTCACGCAGCTTCGCCCACCTCGCTTTCTCACTCGGATCAGCAGCACGTGCAGACGCCTCCTCCAATATTGCTTCTGTGGTCACACTCGCTTCAGGCACCTGTGGTGTGGTTGAAGTCACTGGAGCCACAAGCGCTACCTCAGCCACTGGAGCCACAGGCGCAACCACAGCAGATGGTGTGACTGCAGCAGCAGCTGAAGCAACAGCAGATGGTGCGCGTGGGGCAGCAGCGACGACCACAGGTACAGGTGCAAGCACAGGAGCTGCAGCCTTGCCTCCGAAGCGGCCGATTCCAGGCCGCTTAACGTCAGGCGCGTCAGATACAACGTGCACCTTGGCGGGCTTGTGTTGCCCGTCAGCGAGGTGCTTCGCCAGATTCTCCAGCAGCGGCCTCACGCTCTTCAGAAGCACGCTGCTGCAGTACGTCTCACCGTCGCCGTTGCAAGCAGCAGCAGGAAGTTGCAGATCAGCCATCTTGGCAATGGCAGGCTTCATCAAAGAGTATGATGCTGTAGGCGAAAACACAGTTCGAGGAGTGCCGAACCTGCCAATGCCTCTGGTAGGCGTGGCAGGACTTGAGGTTGACGAACTCGAGTTGAAGGCCTTCGCCGCTCCGTTGTTAACAAGGCAGCAGTCCATGTTATTAAAAGACAGATCGCTTCACAGAAGCTTGGTACGAGGACAGCTACACGATCTGAAAGCTGTGAGTGTTGAACTCCGAGCAGAAGACGACCGGGGGTACTGGAAAAGGAGATCCAAAGATTCCACGAGCAAGATCAACAGATCAGGAGAGGAGGATGTGCGAATGAAAAGACGGAACCTTTGACCCCATTACTACCCGTCTGCTCAAAATCAAGCCTCTGCCTGAACATTGGAGTTTCACCCTCGACCTGCCTCGCTGACCGCTGCTCTGCACGCCACGTCAGATGCTTTCAGAGCGGTTCGAAATTACAGAGAAGTTCCGCCACAGCCATTCTCGAGGCGGCTTCGATTGGGGTTTCAGATTCGTGCTTGATCGAGTCGCCTGAGCTACATTCCCGCCAACTTTTGAAAACAACGGACCAGCCCGCGAAGGAGAAACATTTCGCAATGTCGTGGCTCTGCCGCTCGCGAAGGATCTGGCGAACGAGCGTTTGATCGGGCTTCAGTTTCATGCGTAGTCGAAACGCCTCATTTCGTTGGCGCCACCTTTTCGTCGCAAGCTATCTCCTTACGCGATGTCGGTACCAGAGAGTGTTACCATGATTGTTACTAGCGAGTGTTACTGCGACTGTTACTACTGGCGAGCATATGGAGCCTTCGTCACGTACTGAACGAGCGCTGTGCGACGGATCTGGGCGACAGATCCGCCGCTGGAGGAACTTGAGTAACGTGGCTGGCTCCAGCTGTAAGGTTTTGGGACTGCCGAGGAAAGGGTGATAGAGTTGAATATATTCACTGTATTGAGCTCCTTTGGTAAGAAGGGTAAGAGAACAGCTGCTTCTGCTCTAAAATTTTCAAACAAAAACAAGAATGATATACTGCTCAGAGGAATAAGATGTAACAGCAACCTCATGTTGAGAAACCTAGTGGAAAACTAGGTTCAGGACAGAGGGGAGCATATCCAGAGAAAAGATAGCAAAGGTTGACCAAAAGAGGGTAGTATTCACTATAGAATGTAAAAAACATACGGTACCATTGATATTTGGTCAAGTCAGGGTAACTACTACAGTATGTATTCTTCGCAATCGCTAGAAACCCGCAAATGGTCGACCATTTTGTTTGGTCATTGCAAGTTGACACGCACTAAGGGGGATACATTCTGCTATCACCTTGGCCCATCCCATGTGTCACGACGATGCGGAACGTTTTGCTATTACCTTGGTCCATCCCATGTGTCACGATGATGCTTAACGTTTTTCTATTGCCTTGGTCCATCCCATGTGTCACGATAATGCGTGAAGCTTCCTCATTAAAATCTTGTTCATGAGCGCCGGGTTCACTCTACCCCCCGATGCTTTCATTACCTGCCAGGGAGCATGGGAAATGGGCATGGTTGCATACCACATTCATGGATAGAGGGACAGAAAGAGGCACACAGTATGACAGAATGCGACGATTTATAGCTGCAACAATTAACATGATTACATGCTGCAACGAGCACAAACAGCCTCAAAGGAGAAACTCCTCACACCCCAATTCCGTCACACCTCAATTCCCTCACACCCCAACTCCGTCACACCTCAATTCCCTCACAACTCGGCGCCCCATTACTGCCCAGCTGTTCATGCAACCCACCTGCTCTCTCACTCAACTCACCTGCTCTTTCACTCAACTCACCTGCTCTCTCACTCAACCCACCTGCTCTCTCACTCAACTCACCTGCTCTCTCACTCAACCCACCTGCTCTCTCACTCAACTCACCTGCTCTCTCACTCAACCCACCTGCTCTCTCACTCAACTCACCTGCTCTCTCACTCAACCCACCTGCTCTCTCACTCAACCCACCTGCTCTCTCACTCAACCCACCTGCTCTCTCACTCAACCCACCTGCTCTCTCACTCAACCCACCTGCTCTCTCACTCAACCCACCTGCTCTCTCACTCAACCCACCTGCTCTCTCACTCAACCCACCTGCTCTCTCACTCAACCCACCTGCTCTCTCACTCACCAACCCACCAAGCTGCCCGGTGAAGAAGCCCACCTGCCCGGTGAAGAAGCCCACCTGCCCAGTGAAGAAGCCCACCTGCCCGGTGAAGAAGCTTACCTGCCCGGAGAAGAAACCCACCTGCCCGGTGAAGAAGCCCTGCAGTTTGGTCTTGCCGGCGCGGAACTGCTCGAGCTGCTTGGGGTTGGCCGTCAGCACCTCGTCCACCATCCGCTCTATGGTCGCCTCGTCTGAGATCTGATGCCATGCCATGCCATGCCATGCCATGCCATGCCATGCCATCGCAGCATGCGCCGTGGAGGCCACATCAGGGACGGGCAAGTCATGGAGAGGGTGAGGGATGACTCCTCTCAGGTACCAGGCAGCAAAGATCTTTCAAAGGGCGTGTGGCATCTCTGCTGGTAACACACAAGTGTCGCGTCGCAAGCCCGACAGAAGTGATGTTTTGAGACGTCTCAAAACATCACTTTTATCATCACGTGGGGCATCTCTGCTCGTAACACACACAGTCTCCCACTTCAGGAGGCAGCAAGTAGCACAGACAGGGTTTGCCATCTGGTTGAGAACATACTCGCAGCCATGCGAGCGCAGAGAGTCAAGTGAAACGCAAATAAATCCCCAACAGTGGTGTTAAATTCGTTGTCGTCGTCGTCGTCGTCGTCGTCGTCGTCGTCGTCGTCGTCGTCGTCGTCGTCGTCGTCGTCGTCGTCGTCGTCGTCGTCGTCGTCGTCGTCGTCGTCGTCGTCGTCGTCGTCGTCGTCGTCGTCGTCGTCGTCGTCGTCGTCGTCGTCGTCGTCGTCGTCGTCGTTGTTGTTGTTGTTGTTGTTGTTGTTGTTGTTGTTGTTGTTGTTGTTTTTTTTTTTTTTTATTTATTTTTTTTTTTTTTTTTTTTTTTTGGGAACTTTAGACACGTTTTTTTAATCGGCCTGAGGTGATAACGCGCCGGCGAAACAAGGTGGGTTCGTTGTTGCAATGTGAAATATCACACCGTCCCCGTATTACACTGCTGTGTGGCACACTCCGTCCCCGTCTTATACACACAACTGACTTATTTTGCCTATCAGAATCACACCTGCGCCTCTCATCCGCTCACCTGCAGCAGCCCCTTGGCCTCCACCAGCTTGCGTGCACTGCCACCCTCCGAGAAGAGCACTGGCAGCAGCTGCTAGGCGCGCGAGAGGGACACACATGGGGTGAAGTTGGGGGGGGGGGAGTGGGGGAGAGATGGGAGAAGGGAAGGGGGAGGAGGAGAGAGGGGCAGCATGAGGTGTAAGGAGTGCATTTTGGATGCAAGAGGCCAACGAAAAGAGAGACTGTTGAGTCGACTCAAAAGGAGAGAGAGGCAGCATGAGTAAGTGGAAGGACGGTGAGGTGTAAGGAGAGCATTCTGGATGCAAGAGGCCAACGAAAAGAGAGACTGCACAGAGATGCAATCTGAGTTAAGTTACCAAGCCCATTGTGGATTCACCTTATGAGGCTAAGATGTCAGAAAAGGTGATTGATAGCTGAAATAAGCGCTCGGCTAGGAGCCATGGAACAAGGCAAGATAACAAGTTGGATTAGAAGTGTGTGGAGATGCATAGTGAAGAGCAGGTTGAGGTGGAACCAATAGTAACGAGGTGACTTTTGAGTCGACTCAAAAGTCAACTTGAAAATGAAGGAAGCTTAACCGGAAGCAACCTAGTGGTGGCCCACAGACCACATAAGGCCATTGCAACTAGTAACGTACAATCTACCCTACTCCACCACTTTCATTCTAGGATGTGATCACGTGGGCACACCATCACTGCTGACCACGTGGGCACACCATCACTGCTGACCACGTGGGCACACCATCACTGCTGACCACGTGGGCCACCATCACTGCTGACCACGTGGGCACACCATCACTGCTGACCACGTGGGCACACCATCACTGCTGACCACGTGGGCACACCATCACTGCTGAGCCCTGCCAACCACTACATGCCATCCCACGCACCTCCTTGCCAATCTTGCCGCTGATGGTGCCGTCCTGAATGAGCGCGATGAGCTCCGCCAGGCTGGCGGGCGGCATGCGGGCGGCCATGGCGGGCACGGAGCAGCGCTGCGCCTTGAGCAGCGCGGTGACGTCGCCCATCAGCCAGTTGGCCGCCGCCTTGGGGTCCGCTCCCTCTGCCAGCACTCCATCAAAGTAGTCCGAGAACTGCCGCAGTGGGAAGGGGTGGGGAAGGGGGGGGGGGGTGATGGGGGGGTTAAGTGCCTCAAAAACCACCATGGGGTCCGCCCCCGCTGCCAGCACTCCATCGAAATAATCCGAGAGAACTGCATTGGTTGGGAGGCGAAGATGTAATTTTTTAGTCGACTCGAAGGTGCGTCTTGAGCAGCGCGGTGACGTCGCCCATCAGCCAGTTCGCCGCCGCCTTGGGGTCCGCTCCCTCTGCCAGCACGCCGTCAAAGTAGTCCGAGAACTGTCACGGTCGGGGGGGTGGGGGAGGGAGAGGAAGGGCTTTGGCTTTTGAGTCGACTCAAAAGGCGGCTGCCTTGGGGTCCGCCCCCGCTGCCAGCGCGCTGTCAAAGTAGTCCGAGAACTGAAACAGTTGGGTAGGGGGAGAGGAAGGGTTTTGAGGTGACATTGAGTCGACTCAAAAGGCCGCCGCCTTGGGGTCTGCGCCCGCTGCCAGCACTCCATCAAAACAGTCCGAGAACTGCCGCAGTGTAGGGGGGTGGGGGTGGGGGTGGGGGTGGGGGTAGGGGGGGGCGCGGCTTTTTTAGGCGCCTCAAAAACAGCCTTGGGGTCCGCGCCCGCTGCCAGCATGCCATCAAAATAATCCGAGAACTGCATTGGTTGGGGGGGGACAGGTGACTTTTGAGTCGACTCAAAATGAAGTGCGCCTTGCGCAGCGCGGTCAAGTCGCCCATCTCACTCTGCCTACACTCACCTCCCCACAATCACCTTGGCCCATGGACGCCCACAAGCAAGAGCACATCCTGCAAGCACTGTTATGAGGCGTCTCAAAGCACTACTTTTATCATGTCGCACCTGCCGGTTGACCATGGACGCACGCACGTGGCTGTCGCCCATGCACGTACCTCCCTATCGTCCACGAGCACGAGTGTGTCCTGCATGGACAGCCCTGCTGGTCCTGCACGCAGCTGCAGTCTCGAGAGAATCTTTACACGCACCTCCCTATCATCCACGAGCACGCCCAGCATGGATAAATTAGAGTGTTTTGAGGCGTCTCAAAACACTCTCAGGACGCACCTCCCTGTCGTCCACGAGCACGAGTGTGTCCTGCATGGACAGCCCCAGCGCACAATCACCTTGGTCCTTGGACGCACTTGCCTGTCGTCCACGAGCGTGCAAACATCCCTTGGCACCAATGCCCCTCCCTATCATCCATGAGAACGAGCACGTCCTGCATGGACAGCCCCATCGCCTGCTCCCATTCGGCACTGATGAAGGCTTGCTAGGGGCTTCCCTATGAAGCCCATTCATTAGACTCACCTCCCTATCATCCACGAGCACCAGCACGTCCTGCATGGACAGCCCCAGCACCTCGTAGCGCCGCCACCTTTGAGTCGACTCAAAACCTACCTCCCCACAATCACCTTGGCCCTTGGACGCACATGCCTTGGCAGCAACTCACCTCCCTATCATCAACAAGCACGAGAGTGTCCTGCATGGACAGCCCCAGCGCACAATCACGTTGGCCCTTGGACGCACACGCACCTGCCAATCGTCTATAATCATCTCCCTACACACACCTCCCTGTCGTCTACGAGCACGAGTGTGTCCTGCATGGACAGCCCCAGAGCCTCGTAGCGCCGCCGCCGCTGCTCCGGCAGTTCAGGCAGGCCCGCCTGCAGGTGGAGCAGGAAGGACTCTTCCAGGTGCAGCGCGGGCAGGTCAGCCATAGAAGCGTGTTAGGCGAGCTGCTGTCTAGGCGAGCTGCTGTCTAGGCGAGCTGCTGCTGCTCGCTGGAATATGTCTAACGACCTGCACGCACCTCTCTGTCGTCAACGAGCACGAGGGTGTCCTGCATGGACAGCCCCAGCGCCTCGTAGCGCCGCCGCCGCTGCTCCGGCAGTTCCGGCAGGGCCGCCTGCAGGTGGTGCAGGAAGGCCTCTTCCAGGTGCAGCGCCGGCAGGTCCGGATCGGGGAAGTACCGATAGTCCGCCAGACCTTCCTTGGACCTCATCGCTGCTGTTTCCTGTTGGGGTGATGTGGAGAGGGAAAGGTAGGGGGGTTTTGAGGCGCCTCAAAAGCTGGCGCAGGATAGCGACTTGCAGGTGCAGTGCGGGCAGGTCCGGATTGGGGAAGTACCGATAGTCCGCCAGACCCTCCTTGGACCTCATCGCCGCTGTTTCCTGTCATGGTTAGGGGGAGGGTGGGGGGGTTGACTTTTGAGTTGACCCAAAGTCAACTCTTCCAGGTGCAGCGCCGGCCCGATAGTCCGCCAGACCCTCCTTGGACCTCATCGCCGCTGTTTCCTGTTGGGGTGGGGGGAGAGAGGTGGGGGGGAGAGAGAAGGGGAGGGAGGAGTCTAGTATTTGAGGCGCCTCCAAAACAGGCCCGCCTGCAGGTGGCGCAGGAAGGTCTCTTCCAGGTGCAGTGCAGGCAGGTCCGGGTCGGGGAAATACCGATAGTCCGTCAGACCCTCCTTGGACCTCATCGCTGCTGTTTCCTGTCATGGTTGGGGGGGGAGGTAGGGGGCTTTTGAGGCGCCTCAATGTGCAGGAAAGCCTCTTCCAGTCCAGGTGCAGCGCGGGTAGTCCGCCAGACCCTCCTTGGACCTCATAGCTGCTGTTTCCTGTCATGGTTGGGGGGGGAGGTAGGGGGCTTTTGAGGCGCCTCAATGTGCAGGAAAGCCTCTTCCAGTCCAGGTGCAGCGCGGGTAGTCCGCCAGACCCTCCTTGGACCTCATAGCTGCTGTTTCCTGCCAGAGAGGTGGGGGGGAGAGAGAAGGGGAGGAAGGAGTCTAGTATTTGAGGCGCCTCCAAAACAGGCCCGCCTGCAGGTGGCGCAGGAAGGCCTCTTCCAGGTGCAGTGCGGGCAGGTCCGGGTCGGGGAAGTACCGATAGTCCGCCAGACCCTCCTTGGACCTCATTGGCGCTGTTTCCTGCCGGGGTGGGGGGAAGGGGGTGTAGGAGGAGGAGAAGGGAGACTAGATTGATAAGATCTTAAAGCTCAGAATACGACAGTCCACGCACAGTGCAGGCAGGTCCGGGTCGGGGAAGTACCGGTAGTCCGCCAGGCCCTCCTTGGACCGCATCGGGGCTGTTTCCTGCTTGGGGGGGGGGGGGTATGGAGGGGGTGAGAAGTGGTGGTTCATGTCCATGTGGCACAAAGATGAGGAGTTAGGAACGGAAGGTGTCGGCATGAACAAGCTCATAGCCTCCTTGCCCCTCCTCATCCCACAGCCTCGTCTCACCTGCCTGCCCTCATCCCACAGCCTCGTCTCACCTGCCTGCCCTCATCCCACAGCCTCGTCTCACCTGCCTGCCCTCATCCCACAGCCTCGTCTCACCTGCCTGCCCTCATCCCACAGCCTCGTCTCACCTGCCTGCCCTCATCCCACAGCCTCGTCTCGCCTGCCTGCCCTCATCCCACAGCCTCGTCTCACATGCCTGCCCTCATCCCACAGCCTCGTCTCACCTGCCTGCCCTCATCCCACAGCCTCGTCTCCTGCACGATACGCTCCGCTTTGCCGTCCCTGAGCAGCTGTGACTGCCGCGTGATCTCGTAGTCAATGGCGCGCTGCATCTCCTTAAACGAGTTCATGTTCTTGATCTCCACCTGCCATGCCATGCCACCGGGGCAGGGCAACACGGACACGCAACGCTTTTGGGTCGACTCAAAAGTTGAAACGAGTTCATGTTCTTGATCTCCACCTGCCATGCCACCGGGGCGGGCAACACGGACACGCAACGAGTTCAGCCTACTCATCATCTGTGGCCGACTTGCCCTCCCTGAGCAGCTGTGACTGCCGCGTGATTTCAAAGTCAATGGCACGCAGCATCTCCCGAAACGAGTTCATGCTCTTGATCTCCACCTGCCACAGTGCCATGCCACCGGGGTGAGTGAGCATGCAAGACGGACAGACACAGACCAAGTCCATGCTCTTGATCTCCACCTGCCTCAGTGCCATGCCACCGGGGTGAGTGAGCATGCAAGACGGACAGACACAGACCAAGTCCATGCTCTTGATCTCCACCTGCCACAGTGCCATGCCACCGGGGTGAGTGAGCATGCAAGACGGACAGACACAGACCAAGTCCATGCTCTTGATCTCCACCTGCCACTGTCTCAGTGCCACCGGCACTGGGGCAAAACGGACACGGAACGAGTTCAGGCTACTCGTCTCCAACTGGCATCGACAAGAACGGGCAACGGGCTAACTAAGCTGAACGAACGCATGTGGTGAGCGAACGAGGGAGCCAGCGAGCAATGGATGCATTGGGAGCAAAGCAGCATTCCAAGTGTTCATGGCTACAAACAAACGAGTCCAACACACAAGCACTCGTCTTCACGGACCTGCCATGCCGTATGCTCCCCAGCCCATCACCCTCTAGCCCGTATTCTTCTCACCTTGTTGCCGAACCTCTCTTTTTGGTGCGGCCGGCCCGGACCTCTCACTCACCTTGGTGCCGAGGGTGGTTTGGCCACGCGGAGACGTTGACATCGCAGCGCATGGAGCCCTCCGCCAAGTTGCCTTTGCGTGAAACTCGACTTGTGCTTTGCCCATGTAACATGTTTAGAAGGTGCATGGTGGCAAACAAGTGCATGAAAGCCAATGATGTGCGAGCGACATGCAATGCAAGCACACAAGCCTCAGTCCTTGAGGCCGAGCCTCTCCCTCTTGTGCCTTTATGGTGCGGGCGAGCCGAGCCTCTGACCTTGGTGCCGAGGGTGGTTTGACCACGCGGCCGCACAGAGACGTTCACATCGCAGCGCATGGAGCCCTCCGCCATGTTGCCGTTGCCCACCCCCACGTACCGCACCTGATGCCGTGCCACCGCACCGCACCGCACCGCACCACACACACAGCAGGGAGGGAGGCCCACAGTGCAGGGGAGCGCACGCACACAAGGCAGTGTCGCATGGGTTGAGAGCGGTGCATGGTTGCATGAGTGCATGGGTGTATGGAGCATGGGTGGTTGCATTACAATATCGACTAAGAAAAACAGACTGACCGGAAACAAGGGCACGTAGAAGTTCATCAATGGGCAATTGTTTGAGCACAGGAGACAGGACAGGGGACAGGGCACAAGGAACAGCACACAGCACACCACACACAGCACATAGCACACAGCACACAGCACACAGCACACAGCACACAGCACACAGCACACAGCACACAGCACACAGCACACAGCACACAGCACACAGCACACAGCACACAGCACACAGCACACAGCACACACCACACACAGCACATAGCACACAGCACACAGCACACAGCACACAGCACACAGCACACAGCACACAGCACACAGCACACAGCACACAGCACACAGCACACAGCACACAGCACACAGCACACAGCACACAGCACACAGCACATAGCACCCAGCACACAGCACACAGCACACAGCACACAGCACACAGCACCCAGCACCCAGCACACACAGCACACAGCACACAGCACACAGCACACAGCACACAGCACACAGCACACAGCACACAGCACACAGCACACAGCACACAGCACACAGCACACAGCACACAGCACACAGCACACAGCACACAGCACACAGCACACAGCACACAGCACACAGCACACAGCACACAGCACACAGCACACAGCACACAGCACACAGCACACAGCACACAGCACACAGCACACAGCACACAGCACACAGCACACAGCACACAGCACACAGCACACAGCACACAGCACACAGCACACAGCACACGCCACAGTACCAGTCTCTGCAGCTCGGCGGCGTATTCAGCTGCCTCTGCCCCCGAGCGCATGTCGGGCTCAGATACCACCTCCACCAGTGCCACCCCCGCCCTGTTCAGATCCACCTGAGAGATGGCACGGGCAGGAAAGGCACGGGCAGAGATGGCACGGCAGGGATGGCACGGCAGAGATGGCCAGCAGAGAAGCAGGTAAGAACGAGAAAGCCACACTGGCAGCGACTGCAAGCATGGGCTGTGCTGCCATGCCTGGTACACCTCACCTCACAGCACCTCACCGCACCTCACCTCACCTCACCTCACCTCACCTCACCTCACCTCGCCTCACCTCACCTCACCTCACCTCACCTCACCTCACCTCGCCTCACCTCACCTCACCTCACCTCACCTCACCTCACCTCACCTCACCTCACCTCACCTCACCTCACCTCACCTCACCACCATTCCATCCCACGTGTCACCACCAGCAAGCAGCCTCTCACCTGACTGCCATCCCCCTCATGCAGCGACAGCAAGCATGGGCTGTGCTGCCATTCCTGGTAAACCTCACCTCACCTCACCTCACCTCACCTCACCTCGCCTCACCTCACCTCACCTCACCTCACCTCACCTCACCTCACCTCACCTCACCTCACCTCACCTCACCTCACCACCATTCCATCCCACGTGTCACCACCAGCAAGCAGCCTCTCACCTGACTGCCATCCCCCTCATGCAGCGACAGCAAGCATGGGCTGTGCTGCCATTCCTGGTAAACCTCACCTCACCTCACCTCACCTCACCTCACCTCACCTCACCTCACCTCACCTCACCTCACCTCACCTCACCTCACCTCACCTCACCACCATTCCATCCCACGTGTCACCACCAGCAAGCAGCCTCTCACCTGACTGCCATCCCCCTCATGCAGCGACAGCAAGCATGGGCTGTGCTGCCATTCCTGGTAAACCTCACCTCGCCTCACCTCACCTCACCTCACCTCACCTCACCTCACCTCACCTCACCTCACCACCATTCCATCCCACGTGTCACCACCAGCAAGCAGCCTCTCACCTGGCTGCCATCCCCCCCATGCAGCGACAGCAAGCATGGGCTGTGCTGCCATGCCTGGTACACCTCACCTCACTCCAGATACCACCTCCACCAGTGCCACCCACGTGTCACCACCAGCAAGCAGCGCCTCACCTGGCTGCCATCCCCCCCATGCAGCGACTTCCCGGCATCTTCCTCCAGGTGGGCGCGCGTGACTCCAAAGCGCCGCCGCCCGCCACCCGCCTCGAGGGGCATGTCCACATCCACATGGCCGTGCGCCGCCAGGGGCTCGTCAAACTGTGAAATCTGCATGGGGGGAGTGGGTGCTATTGAGGCGCCCGCCACCCGCCTCGAGGGGCATGTCCACGTCCACGTGGCCGTGCGCCGCCAGGGGCTCGTCAAACTGTGAAATCTGCATGGGGGAGTGGGTGCTATTGAGGCGCCCGCCACCCGCCTCGAGGGGCATGTCCACGTCCACGTGGCCGTGCGCCGCCAGGGGCTCGTCAGACTGTGAAATCTGCCGCAGCGCAGCGCAGACCAGGAGGGGAGGGGAGAGGGTGCCAGGGGCCGCTTTTGAGTCACCTCGTTACAGTGCCGCCCGCCTCAATAGGCATGTCCACGTCCACGTGGCCGTGCGCCGCCAGGGGCTCGTCAAACTGTGAAATCTGAAGCAGTGCAGCGCAGCACAGCACGGCACGGAGGGAGAGGAGAGGGTGGCAGGGGGCGCCTCAAAACTAGATGCCTCGAGGGGCATGTCCACGTCCACGTGGCCGTGCGCTGCCAGAGGCTCGTCAAACTGCGATATCTGCCGCAGCGCAGCGCAGACCAGGAGGGGAGGGGAGAGGGTGCCAGGGGCCGCTTTTGAGTCACCTCGTTACAGTGCCGCCCGCCTCAAGAGGCATGTCCACGTCCACGTGGCCGTGCGCTGCCAGGGGCTCGTCAAACTGCGATATCTGCACGAGGGGGGGGGGGGGGGGGGGGGGGGGGGGAGGGTGGTAGGGGCCCTTTTTGAGTCGACTTACAATGCCGCCGGCCTCGAGGGGCATGTCCACGTCCACATGGCCGTTCGCCGCCAGAGGCTCGTCAAACTGCGATATCTGCATGGGGGAAGTGCAGTGCAGTGCAGTGCAGCGCAGCACAGGGGGAGAGGAGAGGGTGGCAGGGGGCGTGGTGTGAGGCATTGAGAGAGTGGAGCGGAGGGGGGAGGATGATTGGCATGGGAATGGGGAAGGATAATCGGCATGGGAATGGGAAGGGAAATGTCTCGACGTGCCCGCCTGCACTCTCAGCAGCACTGTGCTCTCTGCTCAACCCTGCCCCACATTCGCCTGCGCCTCTCCTGTGCAACTACATGCCACGTGCAAGGCTACAAACAACACACCTAGCATGGGGCTCTAGGGGAGGCAGAGCTTCACCTGGTAGCCCTTGGGCAGGTCGGCACCTGCGCCACTCCCTCTCTCTCCTTCGCCACTACCTGGTAGCCCTTGGGGAGGTCGGGGTAGAAGTACTGTTTCCGGTCAAACTTGCTAGTTGACTTTTGAGTCAACTCAAAAGTCAACAGGTCTCCCTTCACCTGGTAGCCCTTGGGGAGGTCGGGGTAGAAGTACTGCTTGCGGTCGAACTTGCTGGTGAGCGCCACGCGGCACTGCAGCGCCAGCGCCAGCCGCACCGCCGCGTCCACCACGCGCGCGTTCAGCACGGGCAGCGCGCCGGGCTGCCCCATGCACGTGGGGCACACGTGCTCGTTGGGCGCCGCGCCGTACTGCGCCGCGCACCTGCAGAACGCCTGCCCGCGGGCGGCGGATCAAGGGGCGGAGGGCGGGAGAATGGGCGGAACTGAGTGGCGGGGAAGTGTTGCCTTGCCTCGTGGCGCGGGGGGGGGAAGTGGCGCATATGTGGTGCGCAAGGAGGCGTGGAGGGCGCGGAGTGAGATGGCGGCGAGCGGCGGTGGCAGTAGGCGCGGAGCTGCGCGGAGTGAGCTGCGCGGCTGCTGGCTTAAACAGTTCCCCACCCCGGTAGCGCGCCGCACTGATCCGCTGCGCTGCGCCTTGCCCGACGCGCCACTAAATCCGCCACGCACCTTGGTCGCCGTGTTCAGCTGCACGTGCGTTTCGATGCCAATCACCGCCTCAAACTCCCCCTCACCACGCGCCGAGCCTTCCGCCGTCTGCCCCTCCGCCACCGACACCGCGTGCGCGCGAGCTCTCCCCATATTGGGGCGCTGCGCCCTCGCCACGGCCCTCGACGAGCTGGACGGCGCGGCGGCCGTGCGCGCGTCGACGCGCGAAAGGTGGACCGCGCGCGCCGACGACGGGCAGCATGGGGGGGCGACCGCGCCGCAACGGACGGCCGGAGCGGCTGCCACGGACGCGCAATGCCGCGCTGATAGCGACAAGAGAGACATTGCCGCACCTGTTGCACACGTGGCAGACGGCATTCGAAATGTGGCTTTCCGCGTGGATGAGGAACGCACGGCGCAGGCTTCCAGCGTGCGGAGAATAGCGAGTGAAGGACGCGGAAAACAGCGGGCGAGCATGGAGGGCGGAGGGGATTAGGGGCGAGACTGGGAATGGCGATGAAGAGACCGAGTGGTGGAGATGCTGTGCCGATGTAAAATCCCCGTTTTAAAAACCCCATGCATTTTTACTGCTAAAAAGAGGCACACTTAGCAAAATTCCCCTTCCGTGGAAGTAGTTATGAGATCATATTTAGAGCATAGGGTTAATGATAGTTCTTCCAGCGAAGATGTTACTGATGAACCGCACGCATCCGTGCCTCACATCACGGCAGGTAAGCACGGTCCAAACCTGGAAAAACTGGTTTTGATTGGTCAGGGCGCTAACATCTGCGCGCGAAAACTCTGTCACGCCAAATTGTTTTGGCTTGGGATGAAGCATCTGACACCACCTCACCTAGGAGACTCACGCAGCGCGAAACCTAGCGCCTAGCAGTGCAACCCTCGAAGCTAGTTTCCAAGCAGCCTAAAGCGTAGCAGCCTGACGGAGCGATTATGGCAGTGCGAACCTAGCAGCGAATTCGCCTCTTTTTTACGGCCCATTACGCCACTCCTAGTAGCGCATTTGGTAAACGTAGTTTTTACCAATTCATCCGCTACTTGACACGTTTCTCAGAACGACGCGGCGAATCGATGGATGGACTTTATCGTGAATGACGCTATTTTGTTACGAGGAGCCTCCTAGCGACTCGGCAGTGTTCTCGAATCCGGGGTTGCGTAATGATCTCGAAACCAGAGTAGTGTAGTGCTAAAAATTCAGGATTACGAAGTGCTTTTGAGTTCGAAAGTAGTGATTCCGAATCTAGTCGAGCATCAATGGCGCTGACGGTGGATAATGCTGCCTGATACAGTCAAGCATAGAGTTCCGGGTCAAGTAGTGATTTGTATCCAAAAGTAGTGATTCGAGCGTCAATGGCGCTGACGGTGGATGACGCGATCGCGACGCTGTTCACGCTGACTCAGCATGACGAGCAGCCGGGCGTGCAGGGCCTCACATCCACCATGGTGTACGACGCATCGTACAGGACGTCGTACACAGGTAACCTCAGCAAGTCGTACACAGGTAACTGTGTCGTTCAGCATGTCGCGCAGGACGTCGTACACAGGTAACCACAGCAAGCCATATCATGTCATTCAGCAAGTCGTACGTCGTACGCAGGTAACCTTGTCGCCACTCCTTTTACCCCGTTCTTTCACCCCGCGCCCGTTAACCTCCTTTCACCCCCCATCGTCACACCCCCGCCTCGCGATACCCGCCGCTCCTACCTCCCGTCGCCGTACCCTCCTACATCCCGTCGCCATACCCTCGCCTCGCTCTACCCCCTCATCTGTCCGTCCCTGCTGTCCAGAGCACGCCAAGGTGGCGACCTGCTAGCTGTCCCTTCCAGCCGTCGGTCCTGCTGTCCTTCCCTTCCTTTTCACCCCCTTCTCCCCTCTCTGTCTTCATGCCATGGTCACCCCAACCACACCCTCCAGAGTACGCGGAGGTGGCGTCGTTCCAGCTGTCCCTGGAGGACGACACTGCCGCCATCAACCAGCTGGTGAGAAAAAGGGGAGAGAAGGAGAGGGAGGAGAGAGAGCAGGGGGGGGAATGGAAAGGGGAGGGTTAAGGGGCTGGGGTGGCTGCGTTCCAGCTGACCCTGGAGGACGACACTGCCGCCATCAACCAGCTGGTGAGGTGAAGGGGAGAGACGGAGTGAGGGGGATGAGGGGAGGGAGGGGAGAGAGGGGAGAGAAGAAAGAGAGGGGAGGGATGGGGGAGAGGGGATGGAGGGAGGCGAGGGAGGGGAGAGAGGGGTGGGAGGGGAGGGAGGGGAGAGAGGGGTGGGAGGGGAGAGGGGGAAAGAAAGGGGAGGGAGGGAAAGGATGGGATGTAGGGGAGGGATGGGAAGGAGGGGTGAATGGAAAGGGAAAGAAGGCATTCTGACTGGTGGAGGGATGTAAGCGAACAGTGTGACTGGCGAGTGGGCTGACGGAATGCGCAGCAGAGTCGCAAGGAGAGGGATGAGGGAATTAGGTAGACTAACACCGGCAAAGCTGTGTGGGAGGTGGGCTAACGCTGCTGCAGCCACCAAATCACTGCGATTTTGCAATGCACGGGACTGGAATGAGCACACTGTCACCACTGTCTGCATGCTGAGAGCGCATGTTACCAAGCAGTGACACGCATCATGTCATGTTCACCTTCTTTTTGTGGTCCTCTGTCTGCATGCACTCTCCCTTCTATCAATCTGCCCTGTCTCACTCTCTGCATTCCACCATCTTCCATCTCTCTCCCGTTCCTTAACACCCATCATCCCACCCTTCCCGTGTGCGCATGACTCCCATCGTCTCCCATCACTGCAGGACGCCCTATTGGCAGATGGCAGGGACGTGCTCGAGTTTTAAGCCCGTTAATTAGCACCCATCATCTCCCACCCTCTTCCACCCATTCCATGACTCCCACCCATCGTCTCCCATCACTGCAGGACGCCCTGTTGGCAGATGGCAAGGACATGCTCGCATCGCTCTACACCTACCGCAGCATTTCCAAGTCCTTTCCCGAGGTAGTACAGTGTAGCGTGGCGATTGATTTGAGGGAGTGACCCACGCTCCCAGCTGCCAGCAGACGCACGTCTAGCATGCGTTGGCCCGCCTTAGCATCGCTCTACACTATGCCTACCACACCGTTGCTAAGGCAGGCCTGTAATGAGGCAGGGCGCCTGTCAGGTTTGCACAGGCAGGTAGATGCAGAGGGAGGTAGCAGAGCGTAAGATTCCTCCTCTTTTTCACGAACACCCTTCATTGCTCGTCTTGCACCTTTCCCCATTGCGCATCTCTCCCTTCCCGGTTTCTCTGCCACCCACTGCTTCCCTGCAGTCAGTGCAAGCACTGGACGAGAATGCAGAGCCGGGTCTGCTGCGGGTTGCCTTTGCGCTTGTAGATGTTGAGATGAATTTTGAGTCGACTCACATGTCACCTTGATCTTTCTCTCTTTCCTGTCTTTCTCCCACCCACTGCCCCCTGCAGTCAGTGCAAGCACTGGACGAGAATGCAGAGCCGGGTCTGCTGCAGGAGGCGTTTGCGATCGTAGATGTGGAGATCCAACGGCTGAGAGACATCCATGAGTGGCAGATGCGAGCTCGGTCGTTGATTGCTGCAGACCTACAGCGATTTTCAGGGGAGATGACTGGACCCACCCTCACACACCTGTGGTGAGTCATGCAGCATGGCATGTCACCCAGTGAGTCATTCTTGAGGCGCCTAAAAAAACGATTCTCAGGGGAGGTGACTGGTCCCACGCTCACACACCTGTGGTGAGTCATGCAGCATGGCATGTCACCCAGTGAGATGACTGGTCCCAGTGAGTCACTCTTGAGGCGCGTAAAAAGCGATTCTTAGGGGAGATGACTGGTCCCAACCTCACACACCTGTGGTGAGGCATGCAGGGGGACGCAGCGGGGCATGTCACCTGGTGAGTCACGCGGTGTTGAGTCACGCGGTGTTGAGTCACGCGGTGTTGAGTCACACGGTGTTGAGTCACGCGGTGTTGAGTCACGCGGTGTTGAGTCACGCGGTGTTGAGTCACGCGGTGTTGAGTCACACGGTGTTGAGTCACGCGGTGTTGGGTCACACGGTGTTGAGTCACGCGGTGTTGAGTCACACGGTGTTGAGTCACGCGGTGTTGAGTCACACGGTGTTGAGTCACGCGGTGTTGAGTCACACGGTGTTGAGTCACGCGGTGTTGAGTCACACGGTGTTGAGTCACGCGGTGTTGAGTCACCCGCCTGGGTGAGTCCCACAGACATGCCAAGCAGATAAGCAGACAGCAAGGCCTGTCTGCTTTTCTGCTTGCTCGCTCTTCCTCCCTCTGACCTTTGAATTGTCTCAAAGGCACTCAGCTTGACACACATTCCACCTCACTCCACCGCATTCCACTGCATTCCGCCCCCACAGGAGCCTGCTGAGAGTGCTGGACACGTGTCTGCTGCTGCACACCAAGGCAGCGCCACTCTCTGACCTTTGATTCAACTAAAAAACCACTGTGCTACACATATACCGCACTCCATCACACTGCACCGAATCCCACAGGAGCCTACTGAGAGTGCTGGACACGTGTCTGCTGCTGGATCTGCTCAAGCACACCAAGGCAGCGCCACTCTCTGACCTGCTCTGGTTCAGGCGGTGAGAATCCATGCCTTGCCTGCCTTACATACCTTCCATTCCACGCCGTGCGTGCCTCCCTTGCCTGCCATCCACTCAAGGCAAGGGAGGAATGCATTCCCTCCCTTGCCTTCCATCCACTCTTGCGGCACTTTCTCTCCTCCTCTGCCCCGTCCCTCTTTTCTGCATTCGCTTCCAAGCTTCTAACTCATTCGGGTCTCTGTTAACTCAGTTCGAAGAGTTCCCCCTCTTTTCCTGTATCTGCCTTCACATTTCTCCGTTTTCCCTTTCCGCCGCTGTTGTTCTCTGTGCCGTTTTGGCTGGCTGACACCAGAGCGGTGCAGAGTGGTCGAGTTACTGCAGAGAGGGGTTCTGACACCGACAGCGACCTGGAGGTAGGCCAATGGCGAGCGAAGGTTTCTCTTGGTTATAAACGCTCATCGTATCTTGGTATGAACGATTATAACCGCCCACCGGTATGAGTGTGCATTTCGCCCTTGAAGGAGACATGCCAGTGAAAGTGCAGGCCAGCAGGTATTGAAAGAAAACGAACATATTGTGATGCACTCATTCACACTCAAACTGTGTTTTTCCAGGGATAGTCACAATGTGGCTGCCACGTGCATTTCTGGGCTGTTCTCTATGATTATCCATCCCCTGTCATGTCCTTCTCCCCCAACCTTCCCTTCCATCACTCAATTCTCACCAAGACTCGTACCTCCCATGCCTCTCCTCTCCTCGCCAACGCCAGGAGTTTTGGAGCAAGCGCTGGGCCGTCCTTTCCAGCCTGCAGGCCGGCATCCCAGGCAACGAAACGTACGTGCTGTGCAGTGCGTTGTGGTGCAGTGCGGTCCAGTCCAGTCCAGTCCAGTCCAGTCCAGTCCAGTCCAGTCCAGTCCAGTCCAGTCCAGTCCAGTCCAGTCCAGAATAAATACGCGAATGACTGCGTGTGCATCTTGGCCAATGGAGCATGCTTTGCATTCCAAGAATCCGACTCAAAGCACCTGCTTGACACAACCCTGTATAGAGCGCAGCAGCATCCTCCCCTCCCACTCATGCGCCCCTCCTCTTCCTCCCTCTCTCCACTGACCACACCCCCTTTCTCGCGCCTTCCAGTTTGGAGGAGTTCGAGGTGACTTTTGAGTCGACTCAGAAGTCACCTCCTTCCAGTGTGGAGTTCTTCCCTGCTGCTCATTGAGACCGTCCCCGCACGTGCTGCTGTGCCGTTTCTTTCCTTCCGATTCGTTGTATATTTTCTTCCTTCCTGCTCCACACTGCACTGCACTCTGCACCTCTCCCCCCGCTAACACTTATCAACCAACCAGCCAGTGTGGAGGAGTTTTTCGTGCAGCTGATGGTGGTGGCAACGGTAACCAAAGAGAGCGGCTGCACGCTGCTGTTCCTTTCCCTCCAATCGACTGTCAGATCTCTGCCTTCCTGCCTTCCTGCTCCCCCTTCGTTTCTTTCCAGTGTGGAGGAGTTCTTTGTACAGCTGATGGTGGTGGCAACGGGCACCTTAGAGAGCAATTGGTTGCTTACTGCCGTTCCATATTCGCTGCCTTGCCCGTTCTTCCCCCCCAGCCAGTGTGAAGGAGTTTTTTCGTGCAGCTGATGGTCGTTGCAACCGGCACCATAGAGAGCGGCCGCACGCTGCTGTTTGCCGACCGCCTCATGCTGCTGCTACCCTTCCTGCTCCTCTTCCCTTCCCCCCTCCCCCCCCTTCCAGTGTGGAGGAGTTTTTCGTACAACTCATGGTCGTTGCAACCGGCACCATAGAGAGCGGCCGCACGCTGCTGTTCCACTCTCTCCCCCTTGGCCAATTTCTCCCGTCCTTTCTGCTCCTTTCAGTGTGGAGGAGTTTTTCGTCCAGCTCATGGTCGTAGCAACGGGCACCATAGAGAGCGGCCGCACGCTGCTGTTCCACTCTCTCCCCCTTGGCCAATTTCTCCCGTCCTTTCTGCTCCTTTCAGTGTGGAGGAGTTTTTCGTCCAGCTCATGGTCGTAGCAACGGGCACCATAGAGAGCGGCCGCACTCTGCTGTTCGCCGACCGCCTCATGCTGCTGCGTGTGCTGCCGGTGCTCATATCCCTCGCTGCACGCACCGAGGCCGAGGCAGAAACGCTATTCCGGCGGAGAGTAAAGCTCGACCGCCTGCTCAGACTCTTCAAGGTGCGTGGGTGGATGTGTGTAAGGCGCTCATTTGTTGTGAGGCGTGCTGCCAGTACTCATGTCGCTCACTGCACGCACCGAGGCCGAGGCAGACGCGCTGTTCCGGAGGTGAGTGAAGCTGGACCACCTGCTCCGCCTCTTCAAGGTGCATGCGTGCATGTGGGTGTGTGCTCCTTTAATTTGACATGTCTCAATCTCTCTGTTCAAGTCAAGGTGTGTGTGCATGTGTGCTCTGAGGTTCTGGTTCTCGCATCACTGCAGCCATACCGCAAAAGTTCCTCTTTCTCATATTTCTCCCCCACCCCTCCTTCGTTTTCCCTGACTTCAGCGTGAGCCCTTAGTAGCGGGCTACAAGGAGGTACCATTCGCCCTCGCATCTCTCCTGCCAGACCTCTCTCCTTTCTTCCGCAAGCTGTGTGTTGAGAAGGGCGTGCTGCTGCCCGTGCCAAGCAACATGGACGCCAAGGAAGGTGCGAAAGGAGGGGTGCAATGTGGTGTAGAGGGATTGTTGCCATCACTGCTATCTCATTGCAAGCTGTGTGTTGAGAAGGGCGTGCTGCTGCCCGTACCCAGCAACATGGACGCCAAGGAAGGTGCGAAGGGAGGGGTGCAATGTGGTGTAGAGGGATTGCTGTCACTGCTATCTCATTGCAAGTTGTGTGTTGAGAAGGGCGTGCTGCTGCCCGTGCCCAGCAACATGGACGCCAAGGAAGGTGCGAAGGGAGGGGTGCAATGTGGTGTAGAGGGATTGCTGTCATCACTGCTATCTCATTGCAAGCTGTGTGTTGAGAAGGGCGTGCTGCTGCCCGTACCCAGCAACCTGGACGCCAAGGAAGGTGGGTGATGGGAGGGGATGGTGGGAGGAGAGGGGTTTTCTGGCGATGTGTATAGAGGTGGGTGATGGGAGTGCGGGACGAGAGAGATGGTGATGTGGTGGTGGAGACGGGTGGGCGGTGACATGACATGCATGCAGAAGCAATCTCGTTTGCAGCTTTCAGAAAGCAGGCCGAGCGAGCTTGAAGTGGTGGGTGAGAATGTCGGTGGAGGGAGAGGAGAGGAGAGGAGAGGACGAAGGCACGAAGGAGTGCTGCAGCAGCCGCCAAGTTGGGCAGCGGAGCGGGGATCCGAATAGTCCAACGACCTCCTTATTTAGTTATAGCATTCTAAATACTAGATTGTTGGGTGTACAATTCTGGTTGGGTTTCATCCTCTGTTGTGATTGAAGTCCCAACGCAACCCCACCCCAACACACTTTTTGTGGTCAAGGGGTTGAAGTCCAGCCAACATGTAATGAGGGTGTTTTTGAGACGTCTCAAAAGCACCCTCATTACACGTGGTTATTGTGGTCAAGGGGTTGAAGTCCAGCCAACATTGTTGGACTCCCCAGTAATGCTAGCCAACCCAACCTCACTTCTTGACCCTCCTAACCTAGTCAAGCTAGCATCGACCACCTCTTCCCAAGCAACTACATGCATGCCCTTGAGCTCACTGGAGTTATCAATGAAAGTTCATATCTTTCACTCCTGTGGCGCTGGGATTCTGTGGCGCGGAGGTCGTTGGCCGTTGGAGATCCCCGCTCGGCTGCCCAACTCGGCCGCTGCTGCAGCGCTCCTTTGCGCACTCGTCTTCTCCCTCCTCTTCACGGCCATTCTCACCCACCACTTCCCACTCGCTCAGCCAGTCTTCCGGAGCTACAAACGAAATTGCTATCGCTGCCGGTTTCTGAGTGACATGCATGCATGCTGACCAAGGAGAGGGCAAGGAGGAAAACGACAGAGCCAACAGCAAAGTCCTTCACGCAGCCTTGCGAAGTCGATTGCATTGCATCAGTGCGTCAAACGCTCAGCCCGACCTGCTGCTGCTGCAGATACCAGCAATCACTCTTGGAAAATTCCCAAACGTTGCTCATGAAAAACGCTCACTCCCTCCTTTGCTGCCTTTCTCCAAATTAATCTTTCTTGCTCCTACCTCCCTCCCACCCCTTCTCTCTGTGTCTCGAGTGCACAACCTCACAAATCGGCCATTGTCAAGGCACATGAAAAAAGCTCTGCTCTCCCTCCCTTCATCCTCCACTCTCCCTTCTCTCTCGTCTCTGTCCTCTATCCTCATTTCTCGCTCCCCTACCCCTCCCTGCCCTCAGTGTCACGAGTGTATGACCTGCTGCCTCAGATGCCAGCCATTGCCAAGGCACACGAGGAGCTCTGCCTGCGATTCACCGCTGCCATGAACAAGGTACTGTAGGGTGCAGTGCGGTGAAGTGTGGTATTTTTGCCGGCCATAGGCACAGCACAAGAGGGGCTGTGCCTGGGATTCACCGTTGCCACGAATAAGGTGCATGTTTTAGGATGTTCTGTCGTGAAGTGGAGAGCGTTCTGTATGACCTCCGTGCTGCAACCCACCCCATCCCATCCCTCCCCTACACACACACAGCTAACAGTGATGAAGCACGCGCGCGTGAATTCACGCTCCCCCCATGCGAAGTAGGTGTGGTTGGAGGTATACCGCATGCTGCTGGAGGGGCTTACGGCGCTCTCAACGCCTGAACCTGTCCCTGTAACCCCCACCCCCCAACCCATGCACACACCCAATCCCAGCTCACAGTAATGAAGCATGCCCGGGTCAAGTCTCGTTCCCCCCAGGCAAACGAGGTGCGGGTGGAGGTGTACCGAGCGCTGCTGGAGGGGCTGCTGCTGCCCTCCCTGCCTGACCTCCATCCCTGTAACCCTCACTCTTCCCTCCCCCCACACACGCACAGCTGACAGTGATGAAGCACGCGAGGGTCAAGTCTCGTTCCCCCCAGGCAAATTAGGTGCGGGTGGAGGTGTAGCGAGTGCTGCTGGAGAAGACCTACCATACAGTGCTCATTGTGTGTCCCCTATAACCCCCATCCATCCCATCCCATCCCATCCCAACACATCCCCTCTCCACACACACACACAGCTGACGGTCATGAAGCATGCGCGGGTGAAGTCTCGTTCCCTCCAGGCAAAGGAGGTGCGGGTGGAGGTGTAACGAGTGCTGCTGGAGGGGCTGCTGCTGCTGATGTGCTCGTTGTATCCCCATTCATCCCTTTCCAATCTCCCTCACACCCAGCTGACGGTCATGAAGCACGCGAGGGTCAAGTCTCGCTCCCCACAAGCCAAGGAGGTGCGGGTGGAGGTGTACCACGTGCTGCTGGAGGGGGGCTACCATATTGCGCTCAATGTGCCTTCCTGATGACCCCCCATCCCCATCCATCCCACCCATCCCAACCCATACCACTCCACACCACAATCCCCCCAACCCCAGCTTACAGTCATGAAGCATGCGAGGGTCAAGTCCCGCTCTCCACAGGCCAAGGAGGTGCGGGTGGAGGTGTACCGAGTGCTGCTGGAGGGGCTGCTGCTGCTCTCGCGCTGGTCCGGCCGTCTGCTGCAGCACTTCGCCTGGAAGACCCATCTTGCTGCCTCCCACGCTGCTGCTCATGCTTCTCCCCCAGCCACCACTAGCTCTCTGGCTGCTGCTGTTACTGCCTCCGACGTTGCTGGTGTGGCTGGTGGTTCAGCTGCTGCTGACGCTGCTGCAAATGCGGAGGCAGCAGCAAGGGAAAACGACGCCTCAGCAGCAGAAGGAGGACCGAGGAAGCTTCACCAGCTATTTGCCGAGGCAGCTGGGTGCCCCCCTTCCCCATCCCCATCCGCATCCTCATCCTCCCGCCCGTCTGTAGCGGCTGGTGCTGGTGCTGCGGGTGTTGGTGATGTGGCCGCTGGTGGAGGCAAAGGGAAGCAGAGCCTGAGTGCATACGAGCAGGTGAGTCTAGGTGGTCTGGGAGGCGCATGAACTGTCAAGAGAGGACAGGAGGGCTGCGAAGGTCTAACTTCCATCAACTCGTGCTGTATTAGGACAACAAGACAGTGAGGCTACTTGGTCTGGGAGACGCTTGGGCAGATGCAAAGGGAAGCAGAGGCTGAGTACATTGAAGCAGATTAGACTAGGTGGCGCAAAGGGGTAGGAAGGAGGGGTTTGGTGTTTTGAGCGTAAGGCGACTGCAGTGCCTGAGTGCATACGAGCAGGTGAGTGGGTGAGGGTACTCACCTTCCGCTCTCTGCGTACACCTTTCTCTTTCCACCTTCATCCCGATACTTTCAACATGGCTTCTGGGTTGGCTTTGCTCATAGGCCGCCCTGTTCTTTCAGTCGTTTCCTGTGGCCCCACCTGATATTGTCTCTTTACTCCCCCTGTCTCTACGCAGATGGTGCAGCATGGATTCTCACAGGCAGAGCTGCAAGCTGTGCTACAGGTGTGTATTGATGCTGGGTCTCTGGCTGTTGTTCTAAAAGTTGAGGTGGATTCTGCTGTGTGTGTGACTGTTTGTGTTGGGTTTGTTTCATTGTACGTTTGACTTTTGTATTTTCAAGCCACTTATCTTGCCTTTCTCATAGCATGCTTGCTTCTTATCTGTGAGAATTCTCTGACTTTTCTCATCTCCCCGTCCCCAACCCCCGCCCCAGCTGATCGCATACATCAAGGGCGTGGCGGCCATGATGACGGCAGTGGAGGGGGACATCGCATGGGTGCTAAGGGAGGCCATCCATGCAGATGTGCAGGAGTTTGCACGCGTCTACGTGGCCTCGCTGCTCAAGCGCGTCTCCTCCTCCAACATGGACTCACCCTACGCGAGGTAGAGATAGTATGGACAGTGTTTCATTGTTCGTGAAGCTAGGCTTTCTGCTGTGTCATGTCCCCTCTGACCTCTTTCTTTCTTTCCACCCTGCTCTGTGTTTGGCGCTACTGCGCCTCTTGTCCTCTGTGCTGCTTTCCACTATGCAATGTGATTTGTTGTGCTCCTCTGGCAGGACCCTGCTGAGGATCAGGGCAGTGGCGGCGGACTAGGCGGGGATGCCGGAGGAGGAGGCACTGGAGGTGGTGGTGAAGAGTAGGAAGGGGCACCCAGTCAACAAGGACACTACTGAGGACGACCCTAAGACTCAAGGGCACCCATTTCATGACGCTCTAATCTGTTCTTCTCCTCCTCGTTACTCCTCCTCTCCTGCAGGACACTGCTGAGGATCCGGGCAGTGGCAGCGGACTGGAGGTGGTGGTGAAGAGCAGGGAGGGGCATCCTGTCAAGCGTCTTACCCTGCCATGCCCTCTCCGTGTTTTGCCTCGTGCTGCTGCAGAACACTGCTGAGGATCAGGGCAGTGGCAGCAGACTGGGCGGGGATACCGGAGGAGGAGGCGCTAGAGGTGGTGGTGAAGAGCAGGAAGGGGCACCCTGTCAATGAGGACGACCTCAAGCGGCTTGCCTTGCCGCGTCCCACCCCACCCTCCCTCGCCCAGGTGAGTCGCAGGCTCACAGGTTGACAGTCGCACACAGGTTGGTCGGTCACAGGATCACTGATCAGTCGGTCAGTCGGTTGCGTGCGAGAAATTGGAGGTGGTGGTGAAGAGCAGGAAAGTTTATCCCGCGAATGAGGACGACCTTAAGCGGCTCTCCTTGCCGCGCCCCACCCCTCCTTCCCTCGCCCAGGTGAGTCTTTCCCAGGTTGTCTTGACTCCTACATTAAGTGGCATTCTAAACGCCTGCGGGTCTTCTTCCCCTGGCCTCCTTCCCTACAGAGTTCAGAAGCTGGTGCCGGCATTGCTGGTTGGAGCACGCACCGGGGTGAGTTTTGAGACGTCTCAAGCAGGTAGTGAAAACGCAGATCCACTGTCTGCAGCATCTGGTGCACGCGTTAGTGATTGGGGCAAGTGCCGGAGTGAAAGGTTGTCATCATCACACAGCGAATGGGACCATCATCACACAGCGAATGGGACCATCATCACACAGCGAATGGGACCATCATCACCGCTGCAGCCAATCCCTTGTGCTTCCCTCGCTTCTCCTCCTCCCTTCCTCTCTTCCCTCCCCCTTCTCAGATTCACTGTCTGCAGCATCTGGTGCAGGCGCTGGTGATCGGGGCAAGTGCGGGAGTGAAAGGGGGGGTCTCCTCCCCAATTTTCTTTGCTTCTCCACTCCGCCCCTCCCTTCCCCCCGCAGATTCACTGTCTGCAGCATCTGGTGCAGGCGCTGGTGATCGGGGCAAGTGCGGGAGTGAAAGGGGGGGTCTCCTCCCCAATTTTCTTTGCTTCTCCACTCCGCCCCTCCCTTCCCCCCGCAGATTCACTGTCTGCAGCATCTGGTGCAGGCGCTGGTGATCGGGGCAAGTGCGGGAGTGAAAGGGGGGGTCTCCTCCCCAATTTTCTTTGCTTCTCCACTCCGCCCCTCCCTTCCCCCCGCAGATTCACTGTCTGCAGCATCTGGTGCAGGCGCTGGTGATCGGGGCAAGTGCGGGAGTGAAAGGGGGGGTCTCCTCCCCAATTTTCTTTGCTTCTCCACTCCGCCCCTCCCTTCCCCCCGCAGATTCACTGTCTGCAGCATCTGGTGCAGGCGCTGGTGATCGGGGCAAGTGCGGGAGTGAAAGGGGGGGTCTCCTCCCCAATTTTCTTTGCTTCTCCACTCCGCCCCTCCCTTCCCCCCGCAGATTCACTGTCTGCAGCATCTGGTGCAGGCGCTGGTGATCGGGGCAAGTGCGGGAGTGAAAGGGGGGGTCTCCTCCCCAATTTTCTTTGCTTCTCCACTCCGCCCCTCCCTTCCCCCCGCAGATTCACTGTCTGCAGCATCTGGTGCAGGCGCTGGTGATCGGGGCAAGTGCGGGAGTGAAAGGGGGGGTCTCCTCCCCAATTTTCTTTGCTTCTCCACTCCGCCCCTCCCTTCCCCCCGCAGATTCACTGTCTGCAGCATCTGGTGCAGGCGCTGGTGATCGGGGCAAGTGCGGGAGTGAAAGGGGGGGTCTCCTCCCCAATTTTCTTTGCTTCTCCACTCCGCCCCTCCCTTCCCCCCGCAGATTCACTGTCTGCAGCATCTGGTGCAGGCGCTGGTGATCGGGGCAAGTGCGGGAGTGAAAGGGGGGGTCTCCTCCCCAATTTTCTTTGCTTCTCCACTCCGCCCCTCCCTTCCCCCCGCAGATTCACTGTCTGCAGCATCTGGTGCAGGCGCTGGTGATCGGGGCAAGTGCGGGAGTGAAAGGGGGGGTCTCCTCCCCAATTTTCTTTGCTTCTCCACTCCGCCCCTCCCTTCCCCCCGCAGATTCACTGTCTGCAGCATCTGGTGCAGGCGCTGGTGATCGGGGCAAGTGCGGGAGTGAAAGGGGGGGTCTCCTCCCCAATTTTCTTTGCTTCTCCACTCCGCCCCTCCCTTCCCCCCGCAGATTCACTGTCTGCAGCATCTGGTGCAGGCGCTGGTGATCGGGGCAAGTGCGGGAGTGAAAGGGGGGGTCTCCTCCCCAATTTTCTTTGCTTCTCCACTCCGCCCCTCCCTTCCCCCCGCAGATTCACTGTCTGCAGCATCTGGTGCAGGCGCTGGTGATCGGGGCAAGTGCGGGAGTGAAAGGGGGGGTCTCCTCCCCAATTTTCTTTGCTTCTCCACTCCGCCCCTCCCTTCCCCCCGCAGATTCACTGTCTGCAGCACCTGGTGCAGGCGCTGGTGATCGGGGCAAGCGCGGGAGTGAAAGGGGGGTTCTTTGGCCCGGAGAAGAGCAAGCAGGGGGGCAAGGAGGAGGGGGGGAAGAGTCGCAGCAAGGGCCGGGACAGGGAGGTGTCGGCGAGTGAGATCAAGGAGCTCGATAACTTCTTGCAACGACTGCTCTTCTTCCCTCACCTGCTGGATTATCCCAGTATGTTGCTTCTGGAATTTTTCTGTGCTAGCACTCTCTTGCCGATGCCAAGTGCCGGGACAGAGGGAGGTGTCAGGGACTGAGATCTCAAGTGGGACAGGGAGGTATGGGCGAGTGAGATCAAGGAGCTTGATAACTTCTTGCAGCGCCTGCTCTTCTTCCCACACCTGCTCGACTACCCTAGTATGTTGGCTGGTTGGCTGGTATAAAATCCTTGCAACGGGAGGTATTCATGGGTTTTCAGGCACCTCAAGAGGGACAGGGAGGTATCAGCGAGTGAGATCAAGGAGCTTGATAACTTCCTGCAGCGCCTGCTCTTCTTCCCGCACCTCCTCGACTACCCAAGTAAGTTGGTTGCTGGTTCGCAAGTATCCATGGGTTTTGAGGTGTTTCAAGTCAAGAGGGACAGGGAGGTGTCGGCGAGTGAGATCAAGGAGCTCGATAACTTCTTGCAACGACTGCTCTTCTTCCCTCACCTCCTGGATTATCCCAGTATGTTGCTTCTGGGTTTAGTTTGTGCTAGCACTCTCTTGCCAATGCCAAGGGCCGGGACAAAGAGGTATCAGCGAGTGAGATCAAGGACCTTGATAACTTCCTGCAACGCCTGCTCTTCTTCCCTCACCTGCTTGATTACCCTAGTACGTTTGTACACAGTCCTTGTAACATGTGGTAGTCATGGGTTTTGAGGTGGGACAGGGAGGTGTCAGCGAGTGAGATCAAGGAGTTGGATAACTTTTTGCAACGCCTGCTCTTCTTCCCGCACCTCCTCGACTACCCTAGTATGTTGTTTGGTATACCAAGATCCTTTACACAGGTGTTTATAGTGTGGGTTTGAGGCGTCTCACGAGGGACAGGGAGGTATCGGCGAGTGAGATCAAGGAGCTCGATAACTTCCTGCAGCGACTGCTCTTCTTCCCTCACCTCCTCGACTACCCTAGTACGTTGGCTGGTTGGCTGGTTTTCAATGTCAACGGGAGTTGGGTATTGGCCCCGTCCTCGCTTGGGCGGAGCCGACTTCGTGGTCGGGTGTAGGGTGCAGCCGACCTGCAGCAGTGGGCGGGCTGGTCGACGAGGTTGGTCGACCTGCACGGGAGCCATTGCATGGGCGCCGACTTCGGGAGGGCGCCAACTTCGGGTGGTCGACCCGGGACGTCGACCAGCCCTTCTGGTCGACTTGGGAAGTCGACCAGCCGTTCTGGTCGACCAGGAGTGACGTCGACTTGGAGCTGGTCGACCAAAGGATAGTGGTCGACCTGGGGAGGTCGACTGGAGGTGGCCGTCGACTTGGGAGGTCGACCGGCACGTACCAGAGGCAGTGGTCGACCTGGGAGGTCGACCGGAAGTGGTCGTCGACCTGGGTGGTCGACGGGCACGCACTGGAGCCTCTGGTCGACCTGGTTGCCCGGTCGACCAAGTTACCTGGGTGACGAGGTGCTGCGAAGGCTTGCGATGGTCGCCCAGGTGGTTTTTTGCGAGAACGACCTCGGTGATGGTATCCCGAGGTCGACGTGGTGCATCAGATGCAGTCGTCAGCACGAGGTGGACTTGGTGTGTGCGCTGTGCAGGTGACGAAGCAGTGCGCGCCAATCACCTACGAGCACCTGCGAAGCGGGTGCGATGCTGGACTGCAGGAGCAACGCTGGCGCGCCGTCGACTTGCGCTGTTGTCTTGCCGTCGACCTGCAGCGTTGGCAAGCCGCGACTCTGCACTGCTGGAGCGCGGTCGACCAAGTCGTGCTGGCACGCGGTCGACCGTGCTGCGCTGGCAGTCGACCTGCTTGCATCCTAGCTCTGATGTAGTCTTGCCTAGCCAACTTCATTGTACCATTGTTGTCAACTTTCTCTAGTGAAACTCTTGCCAAATTTCCTTGTGAACTAGCAAGCAGTGTGTGCACTAGGAAAAACGGCTAAGGACCGAGGAACGCAGAGATCACACGAGCACACGTGCCTAGCCCGTAGTCTAGCTCCCGTTACTAGAGTTATCTCCGCATGGTGCGGTGAGCGTGGACGGCACAACGACTTACCTTTCAGTCTAGTCGACTTAGTAGGCACCTTACCTAAGTTGTTCGTAGGCCGGCAGCTGTGCGGTAGTCACTATGGTAGGCGCCGTAGGTGACACGGGGGTGGTGGACACCCTGGAGGCACGGCTGGAAAACGCGAGGAGGAAGCACGAGGCCAACGAGTATGGCGACCTGCCGTGGGCGGTCGTCGAGGCTGGCATCCGTTCCTTGTGGGCGACGGAGCACCCTTCTCGGCCTGCTTCTCCTCGACCGGTGAACACCGAGGGCGGCGTCGACATGGGCGTCAACGCCGGAGGCGACCAAGTCGGCAGCAGTGCGGGAGGCATGTCGTCGAGGCAGCGTGGTGTGATTCACGCCGATGAAGTCGGCGGCGTTTAAGGGCAAGGGATGCGGTCGATGTCGGCTGCAGGCACCTCGCAGGGCGACGTCGGAGGTCGACGGAGTGGGTCCGTGCCGATGTCGGCAACCCAGGTGACAGCAGGCGGGATTGCACCGAGCTACGGCTACTTCAAGTTTACGCCGGATAGGATCTCGGTGACTCCCCTACTGGTCGGCCGACCCGACATTCTCACCTGGAAGGAAGCTATTGAGCCCCAGCTGGAGATGGCCGGGCTCATCAACTTTGCTCGTGGTACCGTGGCGACGCCGAGCGACCCCGACTTGCGTGCGGAGTTTCGCGCCGTGCAGCTGCTGACCTTCACGGTCATCTCGCGGTGCTGCACGCCGGGCGTGCAGATCGCCCTGAAGTGGTGCAGGGAGTACCTCGACGCCGGCCACCAGGCGTGGCACTTCATTGAGTCGACGTACCAGGTCACCGACGACCTGTTTATCGCCCAGCTTGAAGGGCAGCTGACGCACCTGCGCATGGGCGACGAGGAGACGGCGACCGACTACTGCAACCGGGCCCGGCGAATTCTCGCCACCATCAGGATGGCCGGTGCGGAGTATTCGACGGCGTCGTACATCACCCATGTCATGCAGGGACTCCGGAGCAGCTACAACCTGTTGAAGCGGTTGTCCATGGCGCCGAGCACGAGGGCGACGCTCAACGAGGACAACCTAACCTCGTACATCCTGCAGGACGAGGCGATGCAGGAGGCTGAGCGGTCCCAGGAGCTCTTGGCGCAGGCAAACTTTGTCGCCCCGGCGAAGCAAGGCGGTCGACCGGGGCAGCGTGGACAGTCTGGCGGCAGTGGTAGCGGTGGCTTGAAGTCGGCCAAGGAGGTCGACAAGAAGAAGTCGACCAAGGACAGTGGCCGGGGAGGAGGAAGTCGACGCCGGGAGTGCTGGCTGTGCGGCGACCCCGACCACCTCTCCTTCGAGTGCCCCGACCGCAGTGACTCGGACGACGACGACAAGGGAGGCCGCGGGAGGTCTGGCAGTCGTCGATCTCGTCGAGGAGGAAGTCAGCCGCGCAAGGAGAAGCAGTCGACCAAGTCGTCGACCTCGGCGAAGGACGCCGACTCCTCTGCTAGCGGCAAGGGGAGCAACGACAAGTCGGCGTCGTGCTCTCTGGTCGGCGTCGTGGAGCCGACCGTCTCACTGGCGCCGGAGGCAAGTGAGGATTTCCAGGCGATGGCAGCAGCAGTGCAGGCGAACCCGGCGGTGGTCTTGCTGGACAGCGGCTGCTCCCACCACCTGATGGGGACCAAGGACGCCTTCGTCGACCTGGGGCCGAGCGGCGACTTGAAGCACGTGCGTGGCTTCAATGGGGCGCTGCAAGACGTCCAAGGCCGGGGCACGGTCGCCTTGCAAGGCGAGGCCGGGAAGCAGGTACTCATCCCCGACGTGCTGTACGTCCCGGGTGTGCGGGCGAACCTGTTGTCGTCTGGCCAGTTGAAGGAGCACGGCGTGAAGTTTCAGGAGGACGGCGACGGGATGCTGCTCGTTTCGGCAGCACGAGAGGTGCTTGGTCGGGCGACGTACTCCGGGCGAGTCCTTTGCACCGACCTGCGTCCCTGCTCAACGAGGTCGACGTCGCCCATGCCGGATGTCGTGGCCCTGCGGGCCATCGCCTCCAAGACGAAGTCGACGCCGGACAGGATGCATGCTCGGCTTGCGCACGTCGGCATGGACACCATCAGGAGCTCGGCGAAGAACGAGGTCGCCATTGGGCTGGACCTCAAGTCGGCGACGGGCGCCGACCCACCGTGTGTCTCGTGCGTCGGCGGGAAGCTGGCGCGGCACACCTTCCCCGACCAAGGCTCCGACGCCGCCGACGTGCTAGCCGTCGTCCACATCGACCTGTGTGGGCCATTCCGGGTGGCTGCCAAGGACGGTAGCCTGTACTTCTTGCTGCTGAAGGACCGCAAGACCCGCTTCGTGTGGGTGAGGCCGGTTGCCAAGAAGTCGGATGTGCTGCTGGAGTTCCAGAAGTGGCTGGTGCTGGTGGAGAGGCAGACGAAGAAGTCGGTGCTGATGTTGCGCTCGGACCGGGGCGGGGAGTTCCTCGGCAAGGCGTTCACCGCCTTCGTGGACAGTAAGGGAATCGTCCACGACCTAACCTGCCCCTACACCCCGCAGCAGAACGGCATGGCGGAGCGGGAAATGCGGACGGTGGTGGAGTCGGTGCGGACGATGCTGCTGCACATGGGCGTGCAGCACCACTGGTGGCACCTCGCTCTACGGCAGGCCGTCTGGATCCGCAATTGCCTAGAGCGGTCGGCGACGCCGGGGACGACGCCATACCAGCTGCTGACTGGGACGAAGCCCGACTTGTCGCTGGCGCGCGTGTGGGGCTGCATGGCGCAGTTCCTCGTCCCCGAGCAGCAGCGGGGTGGCAAGCTGAAGCCGAAGGCCAAGTGGGGCCTTCATCTCGGCGTGTCGGAGGCGAGCAAGGGCTGGGAGCTCCTCGACATTGCCGCCAACCGGGTGGTCACCACGTCGGACGTGGTGTTCTACGAGGATCTGTCGCTGGAGGAGTGGAAGTCGGAGCATGGGCCAGTGTCAGGGCGGACACTGATGAAAACGCCGACGGATACCTCGACGGCAACGCTCCCTCTGCTCGCCGAGGTCGGTGAACTTGCTGAGGACGACGCCGAGGTCGTCCACCCTTCCTCCCCCTCCCCTGCTCCTCCTCTCGTCGACCGGCATGAGCTGAATCCGCCGTCGGCCTCCGGCGATGAGGGGAGCAGTGGGACGTCGCCTGTGGCGCCGACCAAGGGCATCGCCGGTGGCCGACAGGACGCGCAGCAAGTCGACGAGCAGCAGGTCGACCTAGGGGTGAAGTCGACAGGGGAGCAGGTCGAGGAGGTGCAGCCGACTTGGGTGAAGCCCACAGGGGAGCAGGCAGCAGCAAGGCCGACCAAGGAGCAGTCGGCGACCTGGCAGTCGGCAGGGGAGCTGACCGCAGGGGAGAAGTCGGTCGGGACGCCGACCGAGGTGCAGCAGGACGACGAGGATGGCGACGAGGAGCTGGTCGACCAGGAGGTGGTCGACCAGTCCACCGACCGTGACGTGGTGGTGGTCCCGCCTGAACCCCGGAAGTCAGGTCGACTTCGGAGGCCTCCCGACTTCTTCGTTCCCGCCGCCTTCACCACGGTCTATGACGTGGTCGACGAGGACGACGACCTGCTGTACGACGACGCCGACGAGGATGAAGAGTTTCCGGAGCTCGACCCCGACATGCTGGCCGACCCCGAGCACCGCTGGGACATCTCCACGATGACGGTGAAGGAGGCGTTGGCAAGCTGGAAGGGTCCGGCGGTGAAGGCCGCCATGGAGGAGGAGATCCGCAGTCTCATCGCCATGGGGACGTGGGAGCTGGTCGAACGCCCGCCGGGAGTGAACGTCATGAAGAACAGGTGGGTGCTGACGACGAAGTACAACATCGACGACACCGTCGAGCGCGAAAAGGCGAGGCTGGTCGTGAAGGGCTTCACGCAGGTGTACGACGCCGACTACGACGAGACGTTCGCGCCGGTGGGGAGCTACGTGACGCTGAGGATCTTCCTCAGCATCGTCGCCGTCCTCAACCTGAACCTGATGCAGCTCGACATGAAGAACGCCTTCCTGCAGAGCAAGCTCGACCGGGTGCTGTACATGTCGCAGCCGGACTACTTCAACGACGGAACCGGCCGGGTGTGCAAGCTGCTGAAGAGCCTGTACGGGCTGAAGCAGTCGCCGCTGCTGTGGTACTTGGCGCTCAACGACGTGCTGGTCGACGCTGGGTGGAAGAAGAGCCAGGTCGACGAGGCTCTCTACTTCAAGGTCGGCGACGACGGAGCGACTTGCTGGGTGCTGGTCTACGTCGACGACCTGCTCGCCGCCAGCAGCAGCCCCGAGATGCTGAAGCAGCTGAAGGAGCTACTGGAGGCCGCCTTCGAGCTGCGCGAGATCTCGCCGGTGCAGAAGTACCTCGGGCTGGAGATCGTGCGCGACAGGTCGGCGGGGAAGCTGTGGCTGCACCAGCAGGGCTACGCCGACAAGCTGCGTAGGCGCTTCATCGACGAGGAGCAGGGCGGACGGACTCCGAAGACGCCGGTCTCGGTCGACGCCTACGCCAAGCTCACCTTCGACGACGAGGAGGCACAGGAGCGACAAGAGGAGGAGTACCGGCAGAAGGTCGGCTCGCTGCAGTTCGCGGCGACGACGACGAGGCCGGACATCGCCTTCGCCTGCAGCAAGCTGGGGAGCGGACTCACGGTGAGGAGCGACCAGCACTGGCGCGAGGTCGACCGCTGCCTCGCCTACCTCGCCAACACGCGCGACACCGCCCTGGAGTTTGGCGGTGGACCTGAGTCGCTGGAGCTGGTCGGCTACGTGGACGCCGACGACGCCGGTGACAAGCAGAGCAGGACGAGCACGGGCGGCTACGTGTTCGTCTACGGAGGGGCCGCGGTCTCCTGGTCGAGCCAGCGCATCAAGTGCGCGACACTGTCGTCGACCGAGTCGGAGTACGTGGCGGCCGTCGAAGCCGGCAAGGAGGGACGCCGACTTCGCTTCCTCCTCGCAGAGTTCCAGCAGCTGGATGCTGGGAAGCCGACCGTCCTTCGGGTGGACAACAAGTCGGCCATCACGGTCGCCGAGGGCATGGGGTTGATGGGCAACCTCAAGCACATGGAGCGGCGACAGGCCTGGCTGCAGCACATGGTGAAGCGGGGGAAGTTTGCGCTGCAGTACATCCCGACCGCAGAGCAGCCAGCCGACTTCCTCACGAAGGCGCTGCACTATCCGGCCTTCAACCGGTGCTCTGTCGCCATCGGCCAAGTGTGTCTGGCCGACGTGGGCGGCGGCGACGACGACGTGCAGCAGTAGGTGCCATGCCCTCCTGCATGGCTGGTGCGGTGGACGACGTGCTGTGTGTTGGGTGCACGTCGACGAGCTGTTCTCCGAGAGGTGCTGCCGTGTGGGCTGGGGGCCCAAGCGTGAACGCGGCAGGGGAGTGTCAACGGGAGTTGGGTATTGGCCCCGTCCTCGCTTGGGCGGAGCCGACTTCATGGTCGGGTGTAGGGTGCAGCCGACCTGCAGCAGTGGGCGGGCTGGTCGACGAGGTTGGTCGACCTGCACGGGAGCCATTGCATGGGCGCCGACTTCGGGAGGGCGCCAACTTCGGGTGGTCGACCCGGGACGTCGACCAGCCCTTCTGGTCGACTTGGGAAGTCGACCAGCCGTTCTGGTCGACCAGGAGTGACGTCGACTTGGAGCTGGTCGACCAAAGGATAGTGGTCGACCTGGGGAGGTCGACTGGAGGTGGCCGTCGACTTGGGAGGTCGACCGGCACGTACCAGAGGCAGTGGTCGACCTGGGAGGTCGACCGGAAGTGGTCGTCGACCTGGGTGGTCGACGGGCACGCACTGGAGCCTCTGGTCGACCTGGTTGCCCGGTCGACCAAGTTACCTGGGTGACGAGGTGCTGCGAAGGCTTGCGATGGTCGCCCAGGTGGTTTTTGGCGAGGACGACCTCGGTGATGGTATCCCGAGGTCGACGTGGTGCATCAGATGCAGTCGTCAGCACGAGGTGGACTTGGTGTGTGCGCTGTGCAGGTGACGAAGCAGTGCGCGCCAATCACCTACGAGCACCTGCGAAGCGGGTGCGATGCTGGACTGCAGGAGCAACGCTGGCGCGCCGTCGACTTGCGCTGTTGTCTTGCCGTCGACCTGCAGCGTTGGCAAGCCGCGACTCTGCACTGCTGGAGCGCGGTCGACCAAGTCGTGCTGGCACGCGGTCGACCGTGCTGCGCTGGCAGTCGACCTGCTTGCATCCTAGCTCTGATGTAGTCTTGCCTAGCCAACTTCATTGTACCATTGTTGTCAACTTTCTCTAGTGAAACTCTTGCCAAATTTCCTTGTGAACTAGCAAGCAGTGTGTGCACTAGGAAAAACGGCTAAGGACCGAGGAACGCAGAGATCACACGAGCACACGTGCCTAGCCCGTAGTCTAGCTCCCGTTACTAGAGTTATCTCCGCATGGTGCGGTGAGCGTGGACGGCACAACGACTTACCTTTCAGTCTAGTCGACTTAGTAGGCACCTTACCTAAGTTGTTCGTAGGCCGGCAGCTGTGCGGTAGTCACTATGGTAGGCGCCGTAGGTGACACGGGGGTGGTGGACACCCTGGAGGCACGGCTGGAAAACGCGAGGAGGAAGCACGAGGCCAACGAGTATGGCGACCTGCCGTGGGCGGTCGTCGAGGCTGGCATCCGTTCCTTGTGGGCGACGGAGCACCCTTCTCGGCCTGCTTCTCCTCGACCGGTGAACACCGAGGGCGGCGTCGACATGGGCGTCAACGCCGGAGGCGACCAAGTCGGCAGCAGTGCGGGAGGCATGTCGTCGAGGCAGCGTGGTGTGATTCACGCCGATGAAGTCGGCGGCGTTCAAGGGCAAGGGATGCGGTCGATGTCGGCTGCAGGCACCTCGCAGGGCGACGTCGGAGGTCGACGGAGTGGGTCCGTGCCGATGTCGGCAACCCAGGTGACAGCAGGCGGGATTGCACCGAGCTACGGCTACTTCAAGTTTACGCCGGATAGGATCTCGGTGACTCCCCTACTGGTCGGCCGACCCGACATTCTCACCTGGAAGGAAGCTATTGAGCCCCAGCTGGAGATGGCCGGGCTCATCAACTTTGCTCGTGGTACCGTGGCGACGCCGAGCGACCCCGACTTGCGTGCGGAGTTTCGCGCCGTGCAGCTGCTGACCTTCACGGTCATCTCGCGGTGCTGCACGCCGGGCGTGCAGATCGCCCTGAAGTGGTGCAGGGAGTACCTCGACGCCGGCCACCAGGCGTGGCACTTCATTGAGTCGACGTACCAGGTCACCGACGACCTGTTTATCGCCCAGCTTGAAGGGCAGCTGACGCACCTGCGCATGGGCGACGAGGAGACGGCGACCGACTACTGCAACCGGGCCCGGCGAATTCTCGCCACCATCAGGATGGCCGGTGCGGAGTATTCGACGGCGTCGTACATCACCCATGTCATGCAGGGACTCCGGAGCAGCTACAACCTGTTGAAGCGGTTGTCCATGGCGCCGAGCACGAGGGCGACGCTCAACGAGGACAACCTAACCTCGTACATCCTGCAGGACGAGGCGATGCAGGAGGCTGAGCGGTCCCAGGAGCTCTTGGCGCAGGCAAACTTTGTCGCCCCGGCGAAGCAAGGCGGTCGACCGGGGCAGCGTGGACAGTCTGGCGGCAGTGGTAGCGGTGGCTTGAAGTCGGCCAAGGAGGTCGACAAGAAGAAGTCGACCAAGGACAGTGGCCGGGGAGGAGGAAGTCGACGCCGGGAGTGCTGGCTGTGCGGCGACCCCGACCACCTCTCCTTCGAGTGCCCCGACCGCAGTGACTCGGACGACGACGACAAGGGAGGCCGCGGGAGGTCTGGCAGTCGTCGATCTCGTCGAGGAGGAAGTCAGCCGCGCAAGGAGAAGCAGTCGACCAAGTCGTCGACCTCGGCGAAGGACGCCGACTCCTCTGCTAGCGGCAAGGGGAGCAACGACAAGTCGGCGTCGTGCTCTCTGGTCGGCGTCGTGGAGCCGACCGTCTCACTGGCGCCGGAGGCAAGTGAGGATTTCCAGGCGATGGCAGCAGCAGTGCAGGCGAACCCGGCGGTGGTCTTGCTGGACAGCGGCTGCTCCCACCACCTGATGGGGACCAAGGACGCCTTCGTCGACCTGGGGCCGAGCGGCGACTTGAAGCACGTGCGTGGCTTCAATGGGGCGCTGCAAGACGTCCAAGGCCGGGGCACGGTCGCCTTGCAAGGCGAGGCCGGGAAGCAGGTACTCATCCCCGACGTGCTGTACGTCCCGGGTGTGCGGGCGAACCTGTTGTCGTCTGGCCAGTTGAAGGAGCACGGCGTGAAGTTTCAGGAGGACGGCGACGGGATGCTGCTCGTTTCGGCAGCACGAGAGGTGCTTGGTCGGGCGACGTACTCCGGGCGAGTCCTTTGCACCGACCTGCGTCCCTGCTCAACGAGGTCGACGTCGCCCATGCCGGATGTCGTGGCCCTGCGGGCCATCGCCTCCAAGACGAAGTCGACGCCGGACAGGATGCATGCTCGGCTTGCGCACGTCGGCATGGACACCATCAGGAGCTCGGCGAAGAACGAGGTCGCCATTGGGCTGGACCTCAAGTCGGCGACGGGCGCCGACCCACCGTGTGTCTCGTGCGTCGGCGGGAAGCTGGCGCGGCACACCTTCCCCGACCAAGGCTCCGACGCCGCCGACGTGCTAGCCGTCGTCCACATCGACCTGTGTGGGCCATTCCGGGTGGCTGCCAAGGACGGTAGCCTGTACTTCTTGCTGCTGAAGGACCGCAAGACCCGCTTCGTGTGGGTGAGGCCGGTTGCCAAGAAGTCGGATGTGCTGCTGGAGTTCCAGAAGTGGCTGGTGCTGGTGGAGAGGCAGACGAAGAAGTCGGTGCTGATGTTGCGCTCGGACCGGGGCGGGGAGTTCCTCGGCAAGGCGTTCACCGCCTTCGTGGACAGTAAGGGAATCGTCCACGACCTAACCTGCCCCTACACCCCGCAGCAGAACGGCATGGCGGAGCGGGAAATGCGGACGGTGGTGGAGTCGGTGCGGACGATGCTGCTGCACATGGGCGTGCAGCACCACTGGTGGCACCTCGCTCTGCGGCAGGCCGTCTGGATCCGCAACTGCCTAGAGCGGTCGGCGACGCCGGGGACGACGCCATACCAGCTGCTGACTGGGACGAAGCCCGACTTGTCGCTGGCGCGCGTGTGGGGCTGCATGGCGCAGTTCCTCGTCCCCGAGCAGCAGCGGGGTGGCAAGCTGAAGCCGAAGGCCAAGTGGGGCCTTCATCTCGGCGTGTCGGAGGCGAGCAAGGGCTGGGAGCTCCTCGACATTGCCGCCAACCGGGTGGTCACCACGTCGGACGTGGTGTTCTACGAGGATCTGTCGCTGGAGGAGTGGAAGTCGGAGCATGGGCCAGTGTCAGGGCGGACACTGATGAAAACGCCGACGGATACCTCGACGGCAACGCTCCCTCTGCTCGCCGAGGTCGGTGAACTTGCTGAGGACGACGCCGAGGTCGTCCACCCTTCCTCCCCCTCCCCTGCTCCTCCTCTCGTCGACCGGCATGAGCTGAATCCGCCGTCGGCCTCCGGCGATGAGGGGAGCAGTGGGACGTCGCCTGTGGCGCCGACCAAGGGCATCGCCGGTGGCCGACAGGACGCGCAGCAAGTCGACGAGCAGCAGGTCGACCTAGGGGTGAAGTCGACAGGGGAGCAGGTCGAGGAGGTGCAGCCGACTTGGGTGAAGCCCACAGGGGAGCAGGCAGCAGCAAGGCCGACCAAGGAGCAGTCGGCGACCTGGCAGTCGGCAGGGGAGCTGACCGCAGGGGAGAAGTCGGTCGGGACGCCGACCGAGGTGCAGCAGGACGACGAGGATGGCGACGAGGAGCTGGTCGACCAGGAGGTGGTCGACCAGTCCACCGACCGTGACGTGGTGGTGGTCCCGCCTGAACCCCGGAAGTCAGGTCGACTTCGGAGGCCTCCCGACTTCTTCGTTCCCGCCGCCTTCACCACGGTCTATGACGTGGTCGACGAGGACGACGACCTGCTGTACGACGACGCCGACGAGGATGAAGAGTTTCCGGAGCTCGACCCCGACATGCTGGCCGACCCCGAGCACCGCTGGGACATCTCCACGATGACGGTGAAGGAGGCGTTGGCAAGCTGGAAGGGTCCGGCGGTGAAGGCCGCCATGGAGGAGGAGATCCGCAGTCTCATCGCCATGGGGACGTGGGAGCTGGTCGAACGCCCGCCGGGAGTGAACGTCATGAAGAACAGGTGGGTGCTGACGACGAAGTACAACATCGACGACACCGTCGAGCGCGAAAAGGCGAGGCTGGTCGTGAAGGGCTTCACGCAGGTGTACGGCGCCGACTACGACGAGACGTTCGCGCCGGTGGGGAGCTACGTGACGCTGAGGATCTTCCTCAGCATCGTCGCCGTCCTCAACCTGAACCTGATGCAGCTCGACATGAAGAACGCCTTCCTGCAAAGCAAGCTCGACCGGGTGCTGTACATGTCGCAGCCGGACTACTTCAACGACGGAACCGGCCGGGTGTGCAAGCTGCTGAAGAGCCTGTACGGGCTGAAGCAGTCGCCGCTGCTGTGGTACTTGGCGCTCAACGACGTGCTGGTCGACGCTGGGTGGAAGAAGAGCCAGGTCGACGAGGCTCTCTACTTCAAGGTCGGCGACGACGGAGCGACTTGCTGGGTGCTGGTCTACGTCGACGACCTGCTCGCCGCCAGCAGCAGCCCCGAGATGCTGAAGCAGCTGAAGGAGCTACTGGAGGCCGCCTTCGAGCTGCGCGAGATCTCGCCGGTGCAGAAGTACCTCGGGCTGGAGATCGTGCGCGACAGGTCGGCGGGGAAGCTGTGGCTGCACCAGCAGGGCTACGCCGACAAGCTGCGTAGGCGCTTCATCGACGAGGAGCAGGGCGGACGGACTCCGAAGACGCCGGTCTCGGTCGACGCCTACGCCAAGCTCACCTTCGACGACGAGGAGGCACAGGAGCGACAAGAGGAGGAGTACCGGCAGAAGGTCGGCTCGCTGCAGTTCGCGGCGACGACGACGAGGCCGGACATCGCCTTCGCCTGCAGCAAGCTGGGGAGCGGACTCACGGTGAGGAGCGACCAGCACTGGCGCGAGGTCGACCGCTGCCTCGCCTACCTCGCCAACACGCGCGACACCGCCCTGGAGTTTGGCGGTGGACCTAAGTCGCTGGAGCTGGTCGGCTACGTGGACGCCGACGACGCCGGTGACAAGCAGAGCAGGACGAGCACGGGCGGCTACGTGTTCGTCTACGGAGGGGCCGCGGTCTCCTGGTCGAGCCAGCGCATCAAGTGCGCGACACTGTCGTCGACCGAGTCGGAGTACGTGGCGGCCGTCGAAGCCGGCAAGGAGGGACGCCGACTTCGCTTCCTCCTCGCAGAGTTCCAGCAGCTGGATGCTGGGAAGCCGACCGTCCTTCGGGTGGACAACAAGTCGGCCATCACGGTCGCCGAGGGCATGGGGTTGATGGGCAACCTCAAGCACATGGAGCGGCGACAGGCCTGGCTGCAGCACATGGTGAAGCGGGGGAAGTTTGCGCTGCAGTACATCCCGACCGCAGAGCAGCCAGCCGACTTCCTCACGAAGGCGCTGCACTATCCGGCCTTCAACCGGTGCTCTGTCGCCATCGGCCAAGTGTGTCTGGCCGACGTGGGCGGCGGCGACGACGACGTGCAGCAGTAGGTGCCATGCCCTCCTGCATGGCTGGTGCGGTGGACGACGTGCTGTGTGTTGGGTGCACGTCGACGAGCTGTTCTCCGAGAGGTGCTGCCGTGTGGGCTGGGGGCCCAAGCGTGAACGCGGCAGGGGAGTGTCAACGGGAGTTGGGTATTGGCCCCGTCCTCGCTTGGGCGGAGCCGACTTCGTGGTCGGGTGTAGGGTGCAGCCGACCTGCAGCAGTGGGCGGGCTGGTCGACGAGGTTGGTCGACCTGCACGGGAGCCATTGCATGGGCGCCGACTTCGGGAGGGCGCCAACTTCGGGTGGTCGACCCGGGACGTCGACCAGCCCTTCTGGTCGACTTGGGAAGTCGACCAGCCGTTCTGGTCGACCAGGAGTGACGTCGACTTGGAGCTGGTCGACCAAAGGATAGTGGTCGACCTGGGGAGGTCGACTGGAGGTGGCCGTCGACTTGGGAGGTCGACCGGCACGTACCAGAGGCAGTGGTCGACCTGGGAGGTCGACCGGAAGTGGTCGTCGACCTGGGTGGTCGACGGGCACGCACTGGAGCCTCTGGTCGACCTGGTTGCCCGGTCGACCAAGTTACCTGGGTGACGAGGTGCTGCGAAGGCTTGCGATGGTCGCCCAGGTGGTTTTTGGCGAGGACGACCTCGGTGATGGTATCCCGAGGTCGACGTGGTGCATCAGATGCAGTCGTCAGCACGAGGTGGACTTGGTGTGTGCGCTGTGCAGGTGACGAAGCAGTGCGCGCCAATCACCTACGAGCACCTGCGAAGCGGGTGCGATGCTGGACTGCAGGAGCAACGCTGGCGCGCCGTCGACTTGCGCTGTTGTCTTGCCGTCGACCTGCAGCGTTGGCAAGCCGCGACTCTGCACTGCTGGAGCGCGGTCGACCAAGTCGTGCTGGCACGCGGTCGACCGTGCTGCGCTGGCAGTCGACCTGCTTGCATCCTAGCTCTGATGTAGTCTTGCCTAGCCAACTTCATTGTACCATTGTTGTCAACTTTCTCTAGTGAAACTCTTGCCAAATTTCCTTGTGAACTAGCAAGCAGTGTGTGCACTAGGAAAAACGGCTAAGGACCGAGGAACGCAGAGATCACACGAGCACACGTGCCTAGCCCGTAGTCTAGCTCCCGTTACTAGAGTTATCTCCGCATTCAATCCTTGCAACGGGCGGTATTCATGGGTATTGACACATCTCAGGAGGGACAGGGAGGTGTGGGCGAGTGAGATCAAGGAGCTCGATAACTTCTTGCAGCGACTGCTCTTCTTCCCACACCTGCCTGATTACCCCAGTACGTTGGTTGGTTGGTTCGCAAGCCTTTCAGCATGTGGTATCGTTGGGTTTTGAGGTGTCTCAAGTCAGGGACAGGCAGGTATTAGCGAGTGAGATCAAGGAGCGTGATTATTCTCTGCAGCGCCTGCTCTTCTTCCCGCACCTGCTGGATTACCCCAGTAAGTTGGTCGGATGGTACACAGTCATTGCAACGTTGGTTTGGTTGGAGACGTCTCAAGAGGGACAGGGAGGTGTCGGCAAGTGTCTCCTTAATGGAAAGCTTGCTGCGGAGTAGAGCGCCTTCTCACTCTGTAACAAGTGTCTCACTCTGTAACAAGTTCTCACTCTGTAACTTTAACTTGTTTCAGCAGGTGATTTGACTTTTGAGAATTGTCAAAAGTCAAACCAACATAGCGCGCCTTCTCACTCTGTTAGTTTAACTTGTTACAGCAGGTGGCAGTGTTGGTTTCCTTCATGTGGCTGCAAGAGTCCTTTCAGAGGCATGGCACATCAGTGCTGCACTTCTCTCTTCGAGAAGGCCACCCTCCCATTCAAGTCTCGTTCCCTCTCTCCCTGCTCCTGCTGCCTTCGTCCCCCCTACAAGACGCCTTGCTACAGGTGACAGACCTCTCCTTCCTGTGGCTACGGGAGTCGTTTCTAGACCCAGCAGCAACGGCACAAGTCCCCCTCTCGGCCAGCCTGATTTTTGAGGCGCCTCAAAAGTCGTCCTGTTCTAGACCCAGCAGCAACGGCACAGGTCCCTCTCTCGGCCAGCCTCCCGTGGGTGCTCACTCTCTCTACCCTCCAACACACCACCAATAGCAGCAGCAGCGGCGGCGGCGGCGGCAGCGGCAGTGGCAGTGGCAGCAGCATTGTGACTGCTGATCCTGCTACGGGAGGGGCAGGAGGCTCTGTAGATGGCGGCAGTGCTGCTGGGGCTGGGGATGCTGCTGCTACCCCTGCTGCTGCAGCTGGTGCTGTTGCTGCTGCAGCTGGAGCATCTACTGCTGCTGCTGCTGCTGTTGCTGCTGTTGCTGCTGTTGCTGCTGCTGTTGGTGGAGTGACGGTGGTCCCATGGGCGCCATCGCTACCAGACGCATTGCTGCTGCCATTTACTATCTACGACGATGCAGCTGACGCAGCTCTTCGGTCTCTCAAGAGGCAGTTCCTCTTTGACGAGGTCGAAGCAGAGGTGAGAGACAAGCAAGGGATGTGAGTGCAATGATTCCACATGTATGCTATGCTGTTGGTGAGGTCCTGTCTGTGTGACGGGCGTCCTGCCGTTCACTATCTATGATGATGCAGCTGATGCGGCCCTTCGCTCGCTCAAGAGGCAGTTCCTTTTCGATGAGGTGGAGGCAGAGGTGAGGATGGGAGGTGGTGGTGTGACAGGGCGCCCCTTGGGCCATCGCTACCAGGCGCAGTGCTGCTGCCGTTCACCATCTACGACGATGCAGCTGACGCGGCTCTTCGGTCGCTCAAGAGGCAATTTCTTTTCGATGAGGTCAAAGCAGAGGTGAGAATGGGAACCTGCATGTGCTACCCAATGCAGTGCTGCTGCCGTTCACCATCTACGACGATGCAGCTGACGCAGCTCTTCGCTCGCTCAAAAGGCAATTCCTCTTTGATGAGGTGGAGGCGGAGGTGAGGATGAGAAGCAAAGGGTGTGAGGGCTGGGACTCAAAATGCGGCTATTTCCTGCTCATCCAGTGCTCTCTCCGTCTCAAGCCCATATGGAAGCTACCACCCACACCATCCCATCCTACCCATCCTATCCCCCATCGTATCCTATTCCATCCCATCCCACCCCACCAGGCGGGAGCAGCGTTTGATCAGCTACTGGAGAAGCTCTCTCTCTCCATCTTCACCCACTTCAAGCAGTGTGCCGCCAGGTGAGCCAGTCATTAATGGGCGGCCAGGTGAGTCAGACAGGGGCGGCCAGCTGAGTCAGTCAGGGGCTTCCTTCTTGGTTCTGGGAGGGTCAGTGGCACACCCACTTCTTCCTGCCCGTGCTTGCTTCCCACCTTCCTTCTTTTGCCGAATGACTCTTGCTCTCGCTCACCTCACATCTCCACTCCATGGTGGCTAGTCACATCTCTCACTGCCGAATGACTCTCGCTCTTTCTGAGGAAACTCCCAGGCGAGTCCCTTGTTGGCCGCTGCCACAGCCCTGGTCCTGGGAGGGTTGGTGGCCCATCCGCTTGCCCCTGTTTTCCTTACTTCCCTCACCACCCATCCTTGTTCCCACCCCCTTCATTTTCCTCCCACCGCCCATCCCCTGCCCCAATGAACCGCACAGCAAGCTGCTGGAGAAGTCCTTTGTGGCGGCAGCGGCAGCCCTGGGCGTGGGAGGGGCAGTCACACACCCGTTTCCTCCTTCCCTCCTTCCTTCACAACCCCCCATCCCCCACCCAACAATGCCGTTCCTCCTTGCTTCCCTGCGCACAGCAAGCTGCTGGACAAGTCCTTTGTGGCGGCAGCAGCAGTGTTGGGCGTGGGAGGGAGGTACAGCATCACTCCATGCAGCTACAGCGGGCTTCTGCGCCAGACGCACTTACGGGTGAGTGGGGTGGCTTATGAGTCAACGCAAAGGTTACCACAGCAGCGGCAGCTCTGGGCGTGGGAGGGAGGTACAGCGTGACTCCATGCAGCTACAGCGGGCTGCTGCGCCAGACGCATCTGCAGGTGGGTGGGGTGTGGTGGCGTTGAATCGACTCAGGAGTGAACACAGCAGCGGCAGCCCTGGGCGTGGGAGGGAGGTACAGCGTCACTCCGTGCAGCTACAGCGGGCTGTTGCGCCAGACGCACCTGCAGGTGGGTGGGGTGGTCTATCAGTTGGCCCAAGAGTCACCACAGCAGCAGCTGCAGCAGTTTTGGGCAATTGAGAGAGGTACAGCGTCACTCCATGCAGCTACAGCGGGCTGCTGCGCCAGGCGCACCTGCAGGTGGGAGTTTCCGTTCGTATCCAGCCATGAGTTGGCATTGCTTCGTCGTGGGTTTGGTTGTGTGTGAATCTGCAACCGCTCTCAACTCCCCCTCCATCCCTTACTTTCCTCGACCACACCAGTCAACCCCCGACCCTTTCAACCCCCCTGTGCCCTCTCCTCTCGCCTCTCCTCTCTCGCCCCATCAACCCATTGCTGCACAGCTATCGGGCCGCAGACATGCTCCTCATGCGCCCTGCCGACATTAATTGGAGAAGGCGACGATGACGATCTGGAAAGAAAGATGGATCTCCCCTCTCCTCACTCTCCAAACTGCTCACTCTCGTCGCTTTCCCCACCTGCCCAACTCCCCCACGACCGCGCCCCCCTCTCCTCTCGTCCCCCTCTCCTCTCGTCCCCCTCTCCTCTCGTCCCCGTCTTCCATTGCTGCGCAGCTATTGGGCCGCACGGTGGACATGCGGGATTTGCTGACTCAGCGACTGAACAAGCTGACGAGGCACAACCTGGATTATATCCTTGCCCGCATGGAGGGGGCTGACCTCTGCCACATCATGGTGTGTGTGTGTGTCACACGTGGCAGGTTGTGTGTGTATGTGCTTGTGTCCTTGTGGTTTTGAGGCGTCCAAAACCTACACATTGCAACTTGTGTGTGTGACTATGATACACTTACTGGAACATGCGTGATACGTGTACGTGTGTCTGATTGTTCCCAGGCCTGTGAATGTGGAAACCTCACCTCAAAAGCTCTCACACTCTTCTCCTCACTCTGCACGCCTCGAGCTT